GGGTGTGTGATTTCCTAGAACAGGGTGGTGCCCCCACTCCGGTCGCTGCTGAACTACAACTCCCAGCAGAACCACACCTGGCATGGGAGGTTCAGTCCAAATATGACCGGAGTAGGGTACCATGTTGGCTACCCCTGCCCTAGAATCCCAGGAGGCCTGAGATCTTGGATGTCTATGAGTTCTAGAGCAGAGGAACCTCCAATCTGGTGCCGGACAGATGACCGGCCAACGTCTGACCAACACCAGATTGGGGGAAGCTACAGTAGACAAGTAGGGACACGGGTGGTGCTGTGGGTTAAACCACAGAGCCTAGGGCTTGCTGATCGGAAGGTCGGCGGTTCGAATCCCCGCGACGGGGTGAGCTCTCGTTGCTCGGTCCCTGCTCCTGCTCACCTAGCAGTTCAAAAACACATCAAAAGTGCAAGTAGATAAAAAGGTACCGCTCTGGCGGGAAAGTAAACGGCGTTTCCGTGCGCTGCTCTGGTTCGCCAGAAGTGGCTTAGTCATGCTGGCCACATGACCTGGAAGCTGTACGCCGGCTCCCTCGGCCAATAAAGCGAGATTAGCTCCACAACCCCAGAGTCAGCCATGACTGGACCTAATGGTCAGGGGTCCCTTTACCTTTATCTTTACAGTAGACAAACCCTGGTTGTATGGAGCAGTTACTCTGAATTAATATACAGAGTCTTGGTTTCTGATCCATAATTGACTTCTGACTTCTGCTCAATGATTGAAACTAAGACCTTCACATTGAATCTGACTATGGACTAACATGAACTTATCTCAACACATAAACTCTTATCTCTAATTCTGTAACAAATTATTGTGTTATACATATCCTCATGAGTTTGAGTTTGTAATCTCTGTTAGAGTTTGCCAGAATACACACTTTTGAATGGATTAGTTTTTGTTACAATTGACTATTGATTTGCGAGTAGGGACCACTCCCACTACTGAAACTTACATTGGCCAGAGTTCTTGGTGTGCTTTTTTCTTGGTATATTTAACACCAAGAACTCCAACTTATTTAAAGTCAGTTTAGAGTACCATTGAATTGTCGAGTTGAAAGGATCCCCGCAAGGATCATCTAGGGCAGCGTTTCCCAACCTGTGGGTCTCCAGATGTTGTTGAACTAGGGATGTTTCCCAACCTGTGGGTCTCCAGATGTTGTTGTCACAGGGATTCGAACCGCCAACCTTCTGATTGGCAAGCCCTAGGCTCTGTGGTTTAACCCACAGCGCCACCCTAAACAAAAATGTTTAGGAGTACTCTAATTTTGACTCAAGGAAATCACAATTTTATAGTTCAAATCAGGGAAAATAAATACAGTAAATGGACAAAAGTACAAAGAACATGCATTACCTCATATTACACAGCTGACAGCTCACAGTAGCTTCCACACTGGCATGAGGTTGTGTGCGCTAACATCTTCCCGATTCCTCTGCTTGCTGTCGGTGTCCGTCGCTAGATGTCGTCCTTTCAAATAGTCATTTTCCTATGGAAGTGAGAGCTGGACCATAAAGAAGGCTGATCGCCAAAGAATGGATGCTTTTGAATTCTGGTGCCGTTGGAGACTCTTGAGAGTCCCATGGACTGCAAGAAGATCAAACCTCTCCGTTCTGAAGGAAATCAGCCCTGAGGGCTCACTGGAAGGACAGATCCTGAAGCTGAGGCTCCAAGACTTTGGCCACCTCATGAGAAGAGAAGACTCCCTGGAAAAGACCCTGATGTTGGGGAAGATGGAGGGCACAAGGAGAAGGGGACGACAGAGGACGAGATGGTTGGACAGTGTTCTCGAAGCTACCAGCATGAGTTTGACCAAACTGTGGAAGGCAGTGGAAGACAGGACTAAATGACTAAACAACAACAACACTCATATTAAAATACTGCTCCTCAATGAGGACAGATTTTCATCAGTAAAAACACCACACATCCACATTCCACACTACTTCACATATTAAACGCTTGCTTCCGTCTGAGACCCAGGAAACACTGGAAAAGGAAAGGAAGCCGCCATCGGAGGTGGTAACAATGAAACTGACCAATCACCGTGCTAGATTCCAACTCCTGCTTCACATATTAAACACCCGCTTCCCTCTGAGACCCAGGAAACACCATGACAGGAAATGAGGCTGCCATCGGGGGTAGCATTCTACAGAAGAAACTAACAATTTTAATTTTTTTTAGCTTCTTCTCCTGTTAGATTCACAAAATGTTTAGGGGTACGTGTACCCCTGCATCCCCCCAGAAAAAACCACTGTTTGAATCCATTGATTCGGGTCCCACCTTCTGGAACAGCAGAAAGCAAGTTTAGCTTATATCAGCCAAACATCCGCATCCCTGGGACTTCCAAGGTTTGATAACAGTGGTTAGGAACCCCGTACCCAGGGCCAAATCATAGAATCAAAGAACTGTCAAGTTGGAAGGGACCACAAGGGCCTTATAGTCCAATTCTCTGCAATGCAAGAATCTTTTGCCCATTGTGGGGCTCGAACCCACAACCCTGAGATCCTTCCATCTCTCGGAAGACCACCCATTCTCTTGGCTAGGTTGACTGTAATCCAAGGGAAATCAGAGGACCCACTGTGCTGGGCCGCTACATACAACATTGACCTAGACAAGAGCTTTCCAAACTGTGTGTTGTGACACGTTAGTGTGTCGGCAGCAGTGTGTACAGTGGCGTCGCAACAGGGGGGGTGGAGATCAGTGCGCCTCGGGTGCCATGTCTGTGAGGGTGACAAGAAGGAACCCATGGGGGCTTAGGGCGGCGCGAGCAGCTATTGCGCCATCGCTGCATGTGGAGGGTCCTCCGTTCGCGGCTGCAGAGGATCCTGGCGCCAGTGGTAAACTGCTATGTATAGCGCATGTGCGGTGTCACTACGTACGGCACATGCATCGTACATAGTGACGCCGCACATGCGCTGTACATAGTGACGCCTCGTCCTGGGTGTCACGACGCCTTCGTTCGCCCCTGAGTGTGTATGTAGGTTTGTTGCACAAACCTGCACTCTTCCCAGGACTGGAAAGGGGCCGGTTTAAACCTCTGGTTTGCTAGTAAAACTGAATTACTGCGTCGCAAAATGATGCACGTCTAAAAAGCCCGTTGCCAACATGAAAAGTTTGGAAAGCTCTGACCCAGACCAGTGGTTCTCAAAGGGCGTGGTGGGGCAGGAGAGGGCAGCAACTGTGGTGGGGAGATTCAAGGACAATCAAAGAAACATTTAAACATTTCAGTACAGTGTAGTATAGCATCTAAATTTTTATTATTTGCGGAATATGGATCAATACCTTTTCAAAATGAGAGCGAGAGCTCCAGTGATACCAAGGCCAATCCTAGCTGTGTTTTCCAATGTATTTCTTATTGGTAGACAATTCGGCGTGGTGCAAGGAAATGTTTATTCTGAAAGCTTTATACCTACAGAACACACCTCTATCCTCCAGGTAAGCCAGAGCCACTTCTGCAGTTTGTGGGTTTTTCCAGCCAGGACAGGAGTAGGGTCTGGGGCAGGGGCAGTGAGGGCTGTGATAGCCCCAAAGGCCCGGTAGAGGGGTCCGGGGGTGGGGACACAGTTTGTCCACAGGCCTGAGGTCACCAACCCGATATAATAGAAAAGCAGCCAAGGGAATCCATAGTTTGGATGTTAACAGATCATTATTATTCCTTGATGAGTTCCCTTGCTGGAGAAGCCCATCTTCCCTGCTCGTGTTTTAGCTTGGAGACCGGTTAAAGGTTTGTTTGCAGAAGGCCTTTGGGGTTTGCGGTCTGAGAAGTAGCTCCCAGGCCACGTTTTGAACGCAGAAATGCACATTAGCGGAACTAACGGTTGCTGCAAATGGGAAGAAGTGAAGTATTTCGAGCGCTTTGGGTTTTTTTGGAAGGCTCCGCATGGTGATTAGCAGCCAGAAGGATTGATTCTGCCCCAATCCTACACACCTTTCCCTCTCCAATAAGTGGAGAATCAAGGATATACATACTCCTCCGTAATACTAAAATGAATACACATCCCTACCTTGGGGAAAGGCAACTGGTGGGGGAAGGCTCGATAGAGGTGTGTAAAATTGTTCATTATGTAGAGGAGGTGGAGGAACAAAAGTTTTTCTCCCCCATAGAATTGTAGACTTGGAAGGGACCCCAACGGTCATCTAGTTCAATGGCCTGCAATGCAGGAATCTCAGCTAAAGCATCCATGACAGACGGCCATCTAACCTCTGCTTAAAAACAGAGTTTTTAATCATAGTTTAGAGGTCCCGGGCCCTAAGGAAGTCAGATTATCCTCCACCAGTGATGGCTCCGACCTGGTGGCATGCTCTGTCCCATGAGACCAGGACCCTGCAGGATTTAACCTCCTTCCGCAGGGCCTGTAAGACAGAGCTATTCCGCCTGGCTTTCAACTTGAACTTAGCCTGATCTTTTATTCCCCTTCCTTCCTTCCCTCTCCCCTTTTTATGAAGATTACCCACTCTGGGATCCCACAGCTAATTCTCCCCTGGTCTCCTTGCTGGCCCAAGTAGGACCAATTCAGCCAGCTAGCCCTGGTGATCATCTAATGTTTATTGGATGGATTTTCTCCCTAAATTGATTTTTGAATTCTGAATTTATTGTTATTCATGTTTTATACTGTATTTTATGCTGTTTTTTGTTGCATCAATTAATTGTTTTAAATTTGTTGTTAGGCGCCCTGAGCCCGGTTTTCTGAACTGGGAAGGGCGGGGTATAAATAAAAAATTATTATTATTATTATTATTGTTATTATTATTTAAAAAACCTCCAAGGAAGGAGAGTTGCAACATTAGATCTCACAGACATTCAAGGACGCTGAGTGCCAGGAGAGTCTGGACAGCTATCAGGAAGTTATTCATCAGGCTGCGCACAGTTAAAGTACGGAACTCCCTGCCACTGGAAGCAGTGATGGTACCAACTTGGGTGGCTTTAAAAGAGGAAAAGACAAATTAATGGAGGAAGAGAGGGCTGTTGATGGCTACTAGCCATGTGTATGTTCTGCCTCCACAGTGGGAGCGTCAACAACGTCTAGGCAACACGATGACCATATACATATGTAATAGACAATCTTTATAGAATTCCTTCAAACCATAAAAAGTTCAAAATGAATTCTTTAGTCTCAAAGACTTTACATGAAGCGAGGGACCAGACTTTGTATGATGAAAGACAGGCTGTGAAGCTTTGTGTTTTCAGCAAATATGATGTCCAACACTGAATGGTGACTCCGGATATTGGCTACTGTTTCGTAGAATTCTTCGTCAGCGTGGTGGGAGGATATAGAATTGCTTCATAAACTGAAAATAAAATTTTACAGACGGTGACCTGCATGCACATATCACTTTACAAAAATTATAAACTATAATACAAACAGAAATGAAAAAGAGTACATACCCCATCTTATTTCGAATGAATGTATGTAAATGGAAATACCAAACGCTGTTGAACAGTGCTCATGTAATAATGTAGTCACTGCTATTAACAATATTTTTGAGAAACATATAAAGCAAGCTTCTATAAAGATCGTCTATTACGTACGTATATGGTCATCGTGTTGCCTAGACATTGTTGATGTTCTCTTTGCCACACAGGGGTTGGTTTGGATACTATCCACAGTGGGAGCAGCAATGCTTCTCAAGACCAGTTCCTGGAAACCACAGGATGGTCTTGTGTTCGAATCCTGCTTGCTGGTCTTCAACAGGCATCTGTTTGGCCACTGTAAGACAGGATACTAGACTAGATGGACCACTGTCCTGATCCAGCGGGTCTTCTTGTGTCCTTATGCTCGTACTGCCCTCCCGGCTGAGGTCACACGCTGTGTTTTTGTCAGGCACGTTTTACCCAGGAATTCACTCTTTTTGCTAACATTGTTGGATCTCTTGGCATCTCTGTAACTCTTGCTGATGCAGCCAACAAGTTGCAGCACCCAGAATTAAAGTGTTGCTCCAGATTTTGTCAAAACCACCCACCCTTGGTCTCTGCAACACATGTGTGGGTTGGTTGTAGTTTTACCTGACTACAGGATACAACATCCTGATTTATTTTTTTTGCATTCAATTATATAAGCTATACTGCAGGACTTGCTGGTTATATCCTGATGGGTGTAATATTGGTAGCTGGAATTTTTCTTGCCTTTCCTTGGGGTTTTATGGGTTATTTTCAGCCCTAAAATGGAGCTGTTCTTTTTAAAGTCCAATAAACAGATCACTTAATTTATAACAGACCTTTTGCAGTCCATCGCTTCTTTAAGCATCAATGGCTCAAAGCTTTGCGGTTTCCTTAAGTGGGTGGGAAGATCTTGTAGCATGATTAAAACGGTGATTAAGTATTGAAATAGCGGATGACAGCGTTGCCTGTTTTTTCTTTTCTTTTTTTAAAGGAAAGCAAACCTGCGAACGGCATATTTCAGGAAGCCAGTTTGAAAACCCGACTTGGTTGTAGATAAACTAAGGGAAACAAGGGCGGAATTTTTAAAATAAAGCCAAGTTTTTGCTTCAATCCACCTTGCAAGATAGAGAGAGGAATGAAATGCAAATGGTTTTCATCATGGGTAGGCAAACTAAGGCCCAGGGGCTGGATCCGGCCCAATCGCCTTCTCAATCCGGCCCATGGATGGTCCAGGAATCAGCGTGTTTTTACATGAGTACAATGTGTTCTTTTATTTAAAATGCATCTCTGGGTTATTTGTGGGGCATAGGAATTCGTTCATTTCCCCACCACCACCCAAAAAAATATAGTCCGGCCCCCCACAAGGTCTGAGGGACAGTGGACCGGCCCCCTGCTGAAAAAGTTTGCTGATCCCTGGTTTTCATTGATCCGGGGCCTGTCAACAGGAGAGCTATGGGCAGAACAGGGACCGGCAGTTTGTTGCCCCGGTCATGATGAATTGCACTCCATCCCACCACTCAGGGCTAGGCTGAGCCTTGGGGGGCAGGCGGTAAGACAGGGGGACTCCATTGCACTGTGGGGCTGAAGCTCAGACTGCAAGAGGATTCCTGCAACAGGATTCCTGAATGTTGGAAGATTGGGGACAGATACAAGGAAGATAATATGGAACTCACTGCTACAAGTTGGCCACCTAGACAAATTCATGGGGGCTATTGATGGCTACTAGCTAGGGTGATTCTGCTCTGCCTCCACAATGCTTCTCAGTTCCAGCTGCTGGAAACCCCAGGAAGGGAGAGATGCTCTTGTGCTTTTTTTCTGACATCATGGGCATCTGGGCAGCCACAGTGAGAACAGGATGCTGGACTAAATAATAATAATAATAATAATAATAATAATAATAATAATAATTTATACCCCGCCCTCCCCGACCAGAGCTGGGCTCAGGGCGGCTAACACTAATAAAATCACAGTAAAAACAAAGGGGGGAAAGAGAGGGGGGGAACCAATTTAAAATACAGGTTAAAATGCAATTTAAAATGCAGCCCCGTTTTAAAGTAGCTGGTAAATCAAGACCATAAGGGGAGGGAAACAGAAGGGTCAGACTGAGTCCAAACCAAAGGCCAGGAGGAACAGCTCTGTCTTGCAGGCCCTGCGGAAAGATGTCAAGTCCCGCAGGGCCCTAGTCTCTTATGACAGAGCGTTCTACCAAGTCGGGGCCAGTACTGAAAAGGCCCTGGCCCTAGTTGAAACCAATCTAACCTCCTTGAGGCTCAGGACCTCCAAAGTGTTGTTATTTGTGGACCTTAAGGTCCTCCGCGGGGCATACCAGGAGAGGCGGTCCCATAGGTACACGGGTCCTAGGCCATTGGCCTGACCCTGCCGGTTCTTCTTATTTCCAGCGGAGCTTGGCTGCTGTTTTCAGGGATATTGAAAAACGAAGAGGCATGAATGATGACTGATCTGCGCTGTATGCTTGACATGCTTACCTTGCGACGGAGGCCAGCTCAGCTGTCTGAGTTCTGGGAAGGAAAGGGCTTGCAGCTTCCACTTGGCATCCTTCCCTCATCCCTCGCCTCTTTGCCATTCCCGTCAGGTTCCTCAGCTCACAGGTCAGCGCTGATAATCCTGCTTACTTTGACAGCAACAGGGAGACGATCTGGCCTCACTGTACGCGACTTGAGAGAGGCAGGCTCTTTTGTTTACTGCATTGGCTTTGCCGTAATTGCATTGTGGTTTTAAGCAGGGAGCTCTTTCCCTTCTGCTTTTCCCCAGTTAAGGATGGAGGAGAAATTTGCTTCAGTTCATGGTATTCAGAGGGACCTGCCTCATTCTCACATTGGGAAGCGATATGCAAACTAACAACGCAGGCATTCTTTCAAAAGAGCACTTCCCTGAATTTTGTAACACTGCTCTCCAACCAAAAATGTTAGGGGAAAGCATTCTCACATTGCATGCATTTGTGGAAACGTTGTATAATGCGTGTTATACATGGAGAAAGCATGGTGGAAATGTGAAGGTTAGGCAAATCGGCGTACGAAAACGTGTAGATTAGGAGAAATTTGCACTAGGACGCAGGCGAATGTTCGTAAGGTCTTAAAAGTAATTCACAGGAACTGAACGGAAGATTGGGAAGACCAGAAAGGGTGAGGGAAAGAATCTTCCAGATTTGTCCAGTTGGCCAGTTCCAGAGTTACTCTACGGAACTCCCTCCCACAAGAGGCCGAGAAACCTAGATGGCTTCAAAGAGAATTAGACACATACGTGGAAGGAGAGAAGGCTATTGATGCCTACTAGTCAGGAGGGATACGCCCTGCCATTGCTGTCGGAGGCTGTGGCATTTGCCCGTTCGTTTGAAAATGTCTGTGCAGGGGGAGAGAAAGGGTTCATATGTAGACCAATAGGAAAGCCGGAGGCGGAGCCTACCTGTTTGTAAAAGGGCTTGGCCCAAGGTTTGGGTGTGGGTAGTTGGTTGGTTTTAGTGGGTTGGTGGGTTGGGAAAGGCAGTTGGAAAAGAAGTTGGAAGGCAGTTGGAAACAGAGAGACAGTTAGTGCAGTTGGTTCTTGTGTGATGATCTCCTTCTACCGGTCCACAATAGAAGGTGTCCTTTCATACTGCATCACGGTGGGGGACGCTGGTTTGACATCATCTGATAGGAAGTGCCTACAGAGGGTGGTGAATACAGCACAATATATTATGGGCTGTCCCGTGAATCCACTGGATGAAATAGCGGAAGAATGTTGCCTCAGGAGAGTGAGGAAAATTCTCAGGGATGATTCACACCCTGGCCGGCACTTTCTTGATCTCCTGCCCTCAGGCAGAAGATATAGAAGCATGATTAGTTGCACCAACAGGGTAAAGAACAGCTTCTATCCGTGGGCTGTTAGGCTGCTGAATGAAAAGATAACAACAGGGCAACTGACTTTCGGGTTTGGTGGGTGTGCGTCAGTAAACAAGGGGAATTCAGACTAAGCTGAGTGAGGGGTGCTCCTGTAATCTCACTGTATACAAGTTGTACTGTAGCCTTATTAGACTTTACCGATTGGTGGTCTCTGCGTTGCTCCTGGACAGGAGGAAGGAAGTCAAATGACACCGAGGGTTGGTCCAGAGAAAGAGTTCTTTATTTCTGCTCTCCGGAACAGCAGAAAGGCACCTGCGTGGTGTGTCCACAGCAAGTCCAAAGAAATGAGAGATTACATGCAGTATATATATATCCTCCAGGCACCCTCTCCCCCCTTCCCCAGGAATCCAGCCACATCAGCTTGTACACGCAGGTTGACATCACAGATGTTCCTGCTCTGGCACTCTTAACCATAAAAGGGATTTCCTTCCTGCACTCCTGACCATAAAAGGATATTCCTTCCTGTTCTTCTGACCATAAAAGGATCTTCCTGTTCCTACTCTTATCTTGGAGCAAGAGGTCACCATCTCCAAGAACACCCTCTGGCGCTGTTCCCAGACTAGGTCTGTGCGTCTTTTGTGGTCAGGATATAAGATAAGGCACAGACGTGTCTTCCCTGTTCTACTGGTACAGTCAAGGCCATCCTTGCCATCACAAACTGATAAAGGAGAGGGCTCTAAGCACTTGTTTATACAGCTGGGTTTCGGCTCAAGAGCTCAAGTTAAAGCATTTTAGCTAAGGAAAAATAGGGATTTTGGTGCAGTTTCAAACTGCCTGCACAGTCAGTTTTGGGTCTGGGAAACCCATTCCTTCAGTACAAGTGACAATAAAGTATTTCAATAGAAGAGATAGAGACAGGATAAAATAAGACTAAGAAGGTAAAGAGTAACAGGGAACCGCAAAGCAGGAGAGTGTTTCTCATGTTCTCAGGCCGTGTTTGACGGTTTTCCTCTGTGGGCCACAGTGAGAAGAGACTGCTGGTCTAGGTGGGCCATTGGCTAGGGTTGCTGTATTTCAAAAAGCGAAAATCCGGGGGGAATCCGCCGAAATCTACACTTCCGACACGGGTTGCCATACGTCCGGATTTTTCCAGACATTTCAGCAATTTCTGCCCAGACACTGTATCTGATGGGCGAATCCTGGCTACGTCAGGGAAATTCCTGACATATGACAACCCTACCATGGGTCTCATCCAGCAGACTCCCCTGATCTTCCCAAGATCCACCACTGTCAGGCATGGAGAGTCCTCCCCTCCCTTCGGTAACTTCATAGATAAGAATTAGCAAGCAGTTGACAGATTTCTAGTCCTTTTATTATAGCATCATGTTGCGAACACAAATACGCAGCTCTCCACAAGGAGGGCAACTGGCTCATCTAATCCTCCTTCCAGCTTCCGCTATCTTTTTCAGCGCCAATGGGAAGTTCCTCCCTCCCTCTGGCTCCTTTGCTCTCTGATACGTTTGGACCTCTGAGTCCCTGGTGAGAGGGGGGGTGTTCCCCACGCTCTCGAGAGACATCTCAACTAGCTGCCCCCTCCATTCTGGTTCTGTTGTCACTATATCAAAACTGGGTAACTCCTCCCTAAGCTGTTCGGCTCTGTCTCTCTCTCTCTCTCTCTCTGCTTCTGAACACGCTGTGGACGGGATTCTTCCCCCTCCAGCTCTCCATCGGAGAGAAGCTAGTCTGCCATAGAATGCATTCCCCAGTCCTCATCTTCAGACCATTCCCTGACAACCATAGATTCACAGTTGGCAAGGACAGGTGGGGAGGGGGCAGTATCAGGAGACTCGGGGGGGGGAAACAAGGCCCCCGATTCCCAAGAAATGCTGACTTTCTTCTCTCTTCCAGTGCTGCCCGCTGTGCCCGATGCTGACCAGACCTCCTGCGGCCTCTCTGGGTCACCCTCTGGGATTCCCGCCCTCCACGCCTTTGCCAGCCTGCCCCTAACTAGCAATGACCTTGTGGAACTGGCCGCCCGCCCCACCGCGCCCCCTTCCCCACTGCTACTCCTACCCCGCTCCTCCTGCTGCCCGCATGCCTGCACCATGACAGGGGCCCGGCAGCTGGATTCCTGCGGAGGAGGGCTGCGTGGCCAGGAGCGTGGCTCGGGCTGAGGGATGGCCTCGCTGGACCTGCCCTACCGCTGTCCGCGTTGCGGGGAACACAAGCGATTCCGGAGCCTGTCCTCCCTTCGGGCTCACCTGGAGTACAACCACACCTACGAGACCCTCTATGTCCTCTCCAAAACCAACAGCATCTGCGATGCCACCGTTTTCCCCCTGGCGTCCGACACCACCCTCCTGACGCCCGCAGCCCGCCGGGACATCTTTGAGAGCACCTCCTTCCAGGGCAAGGAGCAGCGCTTCACCTGCGACCTCATCGCCACCGCCACCACCGAGGAGCTGGACCCGTCGTCCTCGCCCGTCGCTTCCCGCTACGTCCACGAGATCGAGATCCCCCTGACCGAGATCTTCACCCGCAAGGCCATGACCTCGGCCACCACGCCTCCCGCCGCCGCGGCCGCTGCGGTGGCCGCTGTCGATGCGGCCTATGAGGAAGGCCTGACCCGCCTCAAGATCCGGGCCTTTGAGAAGCTGGAGGTGGACAAGCGGCTGGAGAAGCTGACCGAGGAAGTGGAGCAGAAGATCGCCTCCCAAGTCGGCCGGCTCCAGGTGGAGCTGGACCGCAAGAGCTCGGAGCTGGAGAAGGCCAAGCAGGAGAGCATCCGTCTCAGCCGGGAGAAGCAGGAGCTGGAGGAGAGGGCCGTGGAGCTGTCCCGCCAGGTGGACGTCAGCGTGGAGATGCTGGCCTCCCTCAAGCAAGACCTGGTGCAGAAGGAGCAGGAGCTGAGCCGCAAACAACAGTGAGTGATGGTTTCTGTGGTGTCAGGGGGTCTGCTAAAGCAGGGGGTGAGGGGGTGGCCCACAGGCCTGATCCGTCTTCCTTCACCCCATCTTCTGATTTTGCCAATAGCAGCAGAGAAAAATGGAAGTATCATTGAGGAAGGCAGAGGTTTAAACACAGGAAGGGAAGGAGGGAGGGAGGGAGGAATCATGGACTGGTTGGGTGCAGAAGAGTGGTGGGAAGAAACAGTTGGGGGGCCACCAGGGGAAGAAGGCTCAGAGCCTGGGAAAAGGTGGTGGGACGACAGTGAGCGGTCAGAGGGAGAGGACTGGGAAGAGGAGGTGTCGGAAACTGAAGTGGTAACAGGGCTTAGTGAGCGGGGAGAGTCTGTGGCAGAGAGCAGCCCAGAATCAGAGGCAGGAGAGGAGGAGGAGACAGGTCAAGAAGCAGAGATGAGTCAGGCTGACAAAGAGTCACAGGTATTTCCCCCTCCTGCTGCGACCAGATCCCCTCCCCACAAAATGTGGAGTATACATTTCATGAAATAAATAATGATTTAACAGAAGGAGAAGATAGTGGTCAATAATAATTCCTGGAATACAATCAGTTCCAGCAAAAAATCATACGTTGCAGAAAATTGCCATCCACAAGTTTGTCTTTTGACATAAGTCATGAATGACCGCCAAGTATAGGTTTGGCTTCTCTCTTGGAAACTTGTAAAGGATGAGTGAGTTTTCCAGATATCACGAGAAACAAGACCTTCTTAAACCAGTTAGTCCTTCATCCCTGGGCAATGGTTGGCTGAGTGGTGACAGGCAACAGTTTTTCTTTTTTAGAAAAGTTTAAAGCAGTCACAGAGACTAAATGAGGGATTTTGATTTATTTATTTTACTTATTTCATAAAAGTTATACACCGCTTGATTGTTGAAAAAGAAAGGTTTATATTAGGTAAAACAGTTTGCAGAAACATCTACAAACCTACTTTAAATCAAAGCAGAATATTAAATCATATTGCCATTTCCCCCTGGTGTCAGAATAACAGGATGGGGCCAGATTCATAGTCTTCGGAGAGAAATGTCTTGGCATCACAAAGCCTGCACAAAACTCTCTTCCGCTTTCCCTGCCCAGCAAAAGCCTGCTCATTCTTTTCAGCTAGAGCCTGCAGTACACCTGCATCGGAGTGCAGAAGGCAACCGGGTTTTCTTGGGGAAATCCTTTTGGGTGGCCTCCCTCTCAGAAACGGGCTGCTTCACGAAGAAAGCAGATAATGTGGGAAGGCACACAGGGGCGGAATTAATATTTGCATGATCTTAAGTAGAAAGATATCTGAGGAAATGGAGAATCAGAGGCAATAATCCCGTCTAAGAAAATATGGACTGAAATTTAATGATCCCAAGGCACTCTTAGTATCGCTCCTCTCTTGGGTATCAGCCCAAACAAACAGTCATCACACATTCTCTTAGATGGGATTATTGCACCTCGCTCTGAATTTCCTCCGGTATTTCCAGCTTGCTCAAATATTCATTCTGGCCCTGTTTGCTTTTTCAGACTTTCTTCTCTTTGTGTGTGTGTGCGATTGGCACTCATTTTTCTCTGGATTTGCAAAGAGTGAAGTCATTCTCAGATGTGGGCAAAAGACACACACACACACACACACACACACACACACAAAATTCCTCTGAACAATTCCTTCTGCGATCTTCCTTTGTCTTCACAACGCCTCTCGGTTTGGTATCGTCTGTGGATGTAAACACCCAGACGTTTGTGCCTTTTCCTGCCTTCTTTGAAAGCAGGCGTTAAATAAGACCAGACATTTCCTACCATTCCCCCATTCTGAATCTCTTCCTTTGTGGTCTATAAGCCAACATTTCCCTCAAGCAACAGCATGTTCACCCCCAGAGGCTTAAATTAATTTTTCAAGTTGGATTTCATGCGTCGTTTTGCTGCGATCGGAACAGATTACGTCCCCTTTCTTCCCAACCTCCTCACAACCCCATGGATGCGATGGGTGCCAGATAGCGAGTCGTGTTTAGATAAGCAAGTCATTTGCAAGACCTCCCACCACAGTCACTTGAGCACAAGAGTTAAATAATTGTGTCTATGGCAAAATCCATCCTGCCGTTTAGCCAATGAAACCGGGGCGAGGGGCGGGACCCAAAGTTAGCCCATGCCTAATGAGTGGCAGATGGTTGGCTGTAGAAAAAGAATTCTAACCAATGGGGTCGGTGGGATTTATCTAAAGTCTTTTTTCTTTTCTTTTTTTGAAAACATTTTTATTTGATTTTACAATACAAAATTATAAAACATTCAAATACATATCCATATACACATCTGAAGGCAACTCTGTTTAGGGAAGTTTTTAATGTTTGATGTTTTATCGTGTTTTAATATTCTGTTGGGAGCCACCCAGCGTGTCTGGGGAAACCCAGCCAGATGGGTGGGGTATAAATAATCATCATCATCATGATGATGGAATATGCATATATCTGTAAGATCATCACTGTGAGGACTTCTTTGGAGAGCAAGATCTCCTTGCTCATATCCTGTCCTCTACAAGGTTTGCATTTCCTGCTATCTTTTGTGCCACCTGCAAAACTTGTGAAGAATACCCTCCCCAGCTTTCAGGATGCTGAACTCAGACCCTCCAAGTGCACCTATTTTCCAGAGACAGTCCCAGATTTACAGAAGATGCCCCAGTTTCTGATTTGATCCTGGAATGCTCCGCTTTTCCTTACGATGTCGCTATTTTCATCGGAGAAATGTTGGAGGGTATGGAGTGATCTGACCCCAAAGCCATATGAAGGCAGCCCTATATAAGGAAGGTTTTTTTTTTTAAATGTTTAATGTTTTAGTATGTTTTTATATATGCTGGAAGCCACCCAGAGTGGCTGGGACAACCCAGTCAGATGGGTGTAATAATAATAATAATAATAATAATAATAATAATAATGAAATAGAACGAACCTATTTTCATTGGAAGGTCCGTATAGTTAAAGCTATGGTTTTCCCAGTAAAGTGGTACCTCGGGTTAAGTACTTAATTCATTCCGGAGGTCCGTTCTTAACCTGAAACTGTTCTTAACCTGAAGCACCACTTTATCTAATGGGGCCTCCTGCTGCTGCCGCGCCGCTGGAGCACAATTTCTGTTCTCATTATGAAGCCAAGTTCTTAACCTGAAGCACTATTTCTGGGTTAGCGGAGTCTGTAACCTGAAGCGTATGTAACCTGAAGCGTATGTAACCCGAGGTACCACTGTAGTGATGTATGGAAGTGAGAGTTGGACCATAAAGAAGGCTGATTGTCAAAGAATGGATGCTTTTGAATTCTGGTGCTGGAGGAGACTCTTGAGAGTCCCGTGGACTGCAAGAAGATCCAACCTCTCCATTCTGAAGGAAATCAGCCCTGAGTGCTCACTGGAAGGACAGATCCTGAAGCTGAGGCTCCAGTACTTTGGCCATCTCATGAGAAGAGAATCATAGAATCATAGAATCATAGAGTTGGAAGAGACCACAAGGGCCATCGAGTCCAACCCCCTGCCAAGCAGGAAACACCATCAGAGCACTCCTGACATATGGTTGTCAAGCCTCTGCTTAAAGACCTCCAAAGAAGGAGACTCCACCACACCCTTGGCAGCAAATTCCACTGTCGAACAGCTCTTACTGTCAGGAAGTTCTTCCTAATGTTTAGGTGGAATCTTCTTTCTTGTAGTTTGGATCCATTGCTCCATGTCCGCTTCTCTGGAGCAGCAGAAAACAACCTTTCTCCCTCCTCTATGTGACATCCTTTTATATATTTGAACATGGCTATCATATCACCCCTAAACCACCTCTTCTCCAGGCTAAACATGCCCAGCTCCCTTAGCCGTTCCTCATAAGGCATCGTTTCCAGGCCTTTGACCATTTTGGTTGCCCTCCTCTGGACACGTTCCAGTTTGTCAGTGTCCTTCTTGAACTGTGGTGCCCAGAACTGGACACAGTACTCCAGGTGAGGTCTGACCAGAGCAGAATACAGTGGCACTATTACTTCCCTTGATCTAGATGCTATACTCCTATTGATGCAGCCCAGAATTGCATTGGCTTTTTTAGCTGCCGCGTCTCACTGTTGGCTCATGTCAAGTTTGTGGTCAACCAAGGCTCCTAGATCCTTTTCACATGTACTGCTCTCAAGCCAGGTGTCCCCCATCTTGTATTTGTGCCTCTCATTTTTTTGCCCAAGTGCAATACTTTACATTTCTCCCTGTTAAAATTCATCTTGTTTGTTTTGGCCCAGTTCTCTAATCTGTCAAGGTCATTTTGAAGTGTGATCCTGTCCTCTGGGGTGTTAGCCACCCCTCCCAGTTTGGTGTCATCTGCAAATTTGATTAGGATGCCCTTGAGTCCATCATCCAAGTCATTGATAAAGATGTTGAATAAGACCGGGCCCAAGACAGAACCCTGTGGCACCCCACTAGTCACTTTTCTCCAGGATGAAGAGGAACCATTGATGAGCACCCTTGAAGAAGGAGAAGACTCCCTGGAAAAGACCCTTATGTTGGGGAAGATGGAGGGCACAAGGAGAAGGGGACGACAGAGGACGAGATGGATGGACAGTGTTCTCGAAGCTACCAGCATGAGTTTGACCAAACTGCGGGAGGCAGTGGAAGACAGGAGTGCCTGGCGTTCTCTGGTCCAGGGGGTCACGAAGAGTTGGACACGACTAAACGACTAAACAACAACAATTTTCATTGGAGAAATGTTGGCGGGTGTGCGAACTAAGAGAGCAATGACAATTCTCTCGCTCGCTCTCCATCAGAAAAATCCACGGCTCTGCTCCCTGTGCAGGGAACTATTCTCCCAAACAGCAAATATGTGGTTTTCACATCAAGGAAGAGAAAACATCATAGATATTCACACAGCATCCTTTCTCTGCAAGAGACGGTTTCTTCCTTCCCCTCTCGCCCTTGCGGTGCAACTGCTGCAAAGGAGCTGAGCGTCTCTCTACTGCCATTCCAACAGATCAGGAAGGATCAGGCCCCCAGGGAGGCAGTCTGAATATTCAAGAGAACAGCGGCTGCCTGAGAGCCTCTTTAGAAACAGCTCCCTCTGGTAACTCCCACCTCCCTGATCTTTACTTAAAACGGGCATTTGCATGGAGATGGGATCTGCACCTCGCTCTCAATTAAATTCACGCTGCAGGATCAAGCAGGTTCCCACCATCGCAGCGCCAAGGGAATGTTCGGAAGGGTTGTTTGGCAGGAAGCGAGACTTTCTTCCTTGTGAGTTTTTGACACCCGCCATGCTGTTTGCAAAAGTTGGTTTTAATTTTATTTATTTTTTTAGTTTAAAAAAATTACTTGTTTTTATATGAAAGGGGAATAGGCTGCCTTTATGAGCAAAATTACGCCTTTCTTCCGTCTCGTGTTTCCGGCACAACTGTCTTTCTCCTAGCCAATCCCGAGCATGAGATGACTATGATGTCATCGCAAAGGATGCCTACCAGCTGGTGATGATGTCATCATGCAGCCGGCTCAGAAGCCACACCTATTTGAAGCCACACTTCATTGCAAATGAGAAATTCCACCCCATAAATTCCCAGAGAGTTTTGGCTGGTGCCTTCATTATACAGCTCTTTAGACACAAAAAACGTTCCTTTTAACTAGCCTTTGGCCAATTGACATCCAAAGCCCTTTTAAATGGGTTGTGGAAGAGGCAAGTATTGGCTCGTTCCTGTTCTTTTTTATCATGTATTTTGTGTTTTTTACATTATTTATTTTGTGTTTTTTACATTGTAATTTTATTTTGTGAACCACCCTAAGATCTACAAGTATAGGGAGGTATACAAATTATTATTATTATTATTATTATTAATAATAATACCTTTTGCTTTTTCTTGAGGTTTAAATGAGAGGATCTCTCAGCCCCGCTGCCACGTCTCGTCAACAGCCAATTACGCTGATGGACAGCTGGCTATTAGAAAACACCGAGGATAACGATTTAGTCTCTTATTGACAATGGCCAGGAATAAATACCGAGGGTTTGGTCTCCATGGTTTCCCCCTGAACTTGAACTTGCCATTTCAGCTCTCCTCCCGCCATGTGTCTGTCTCTTTCTCTCTCACACACACTTGTAGATTTGAGAGAGGAATCGTTAACAGAGGTGGTGGTGTTATTTAAATACTAACAAGGTCTAAGCCCCAGAACTCCTTTCTCTTTAAGCGCGCCTAGGTGACCCTATCCCAAAACCAGTTGATTCTGCTGGGAAGTACTTTCCCTCCCAGAAACATTCAAGGGCACACAGTTATTATTATTATTATTATTATTATTATTATTATTATTATTTATATCCTGGGCAGCTAACATCAAAATATAGATACATTAAAACATAAAATTCAGCAATCGACTGAAATACAGCTTATAATCTGATTAAAATCAAATAATTTTAATTGGCACCAACCAACCCCCAAAAGGTTAAAAGTGTGGCCCTCACTGTAACAACTTCATGATGAGTACCGGCAACTTGGTGATTGATTGATTGATTGATTGATCGATCGATAAGATAATACAGTCATACCTCGGGTAACAGCCGCTTAGGGTTGCATCTTTTCAGGTTGCGGACCGCCGAAACCCAGAAGTACCAGAACTGGTTACTTCCAGGTTTCAATAATCGCGCATGCGCAGAAGCACTAAATTGCGCTTTGCACATGCGCAGAAGCACCAAATCGCAACCCACGCTTGCGCAGACGTGCAGACACGGGTTGCGAACGCTGCAGGATGTGAACATGCATCCCACACGGATCACGTTCGCAATCTGAGCATCCACTGTAGTTCTAAATGTGACCCAGTTTAGGGTAATTTATGTAGAAATAGCTTGCCAACAAAGGTCCGTATAGTAAAAGCTATGGTTTTCCCAGTAGTGATGTATGGAAGTGAGAGCTGGACCATAAAGAAGGCTGATCGCCAAAGAATGGATGCTTTTGAATTATGGTGCTGGAGGAGACTCTTGAGAGTCCCATGGACTGCAAGAAGATCAAACCGATCCATTCTGAAGGAAATCAGCCCTGAGTGCTCACTGGAAGGACAGATCCTGAAGCTGAGGCTCCAAGACTTTGGCCACCTCATGAGAAGAGAAGACTCCCTGGAAAAGACCCTGATGTTGGGGAAGATGGAGGGCACAAGGAGAAGGGGACGACAGAGGACGAGATGGTTGGATAGTGTCTTTGAAGCTACAAACATGAGTCTGACCAAACTGCAGGAGGCAGTGGAAGACAGAAGTGCCTGGCGTGCTCTGGTCCATGGGGTCATGAAGAGGCGGACACGACTAAACGACTAAACAACAACAAAGCTTTGCAATGGTTGGTCTTCAGCTAAGTTTAGACCTACTGAAGTCAATGGACCCAGCTTAGTCCTGTTTGTTAATTTCAGCGGTTGCAATATACGGGCATACATTTTGCTCAAAAGGTTGAATAACCCAACTGTGCAGGAAGGAAGGAAAACGCCTCTCAGTTCGGGAAGATCCCTAAACGCTCCCTGTATGAATGCGAGTGATAACACTGGCCCTGCCATCTCCTCTCTGCGCCCTGGTTTCTCGGTGACCCCCTGCCTCTAGCTGACCCACATTCGGTGCCAAAAATACTCTGACCTTTTCAGAACCCCCTGCAGGCCTGGCAACTGCTTGGATGCCCCAGGGAGGCTGGTCTGTTCTGTGTGTTGGAGAGAGGAAGGAAGGAAGGAAGGAAGGAAGGAAGGAAGGAAGGAAGGAAGGGAAAAAAATGAGAGCCTATGTGGTTCGGAAACTTCAGCTGGTGCAGAATTCAGTGGCCAGGTTGCTCACCGGAGCAAGACAGTTTGAGTATATTACACCGATCCTGGTCCGACTGCACTGGCTACCAATTAGTTTCCGGGCCGAATTCAAAGTGCTGGTTTTGATCCATAAAGCCTTAAATGGCTCAGGACCACAATACCTCAAGGACCGCCTCTCCGCATATGAACCTACCCGGACCTTGAGATCATCTTCTAGGCCCTCCTTCGTGTGTCTCCTCCTTGAGAGGTCCTGAGGGTGGCAACACGAGAACAGGGCCTTCTCTGCAGTGGCTCCCCGTCCGTGGAATGCTCTCCCCAGGGAAGTTCGCCTGGCACCTTCATGATACACCTTTAGGGGCCAGGCAAAAACATTTCTTTTTAAACAGGCCTTTGGTTGACCTGATCAACATCCCATGCCCTTTTAAAATGTGGTTCTTTTTGAGGGGTTGTTATTGGGTGATTGCTGTTATTTTTATTTTACATACTGTGATCCTTTTCTGTGAACCGCCCTGAGACCTCCGGGTATAAGTGGTATATAAATTAAATAAATAAATGAATTAAGTAAGTAAGTAAGTAAGTAAGTAAGTGTCAGGCTAGGACCAGGGAGACCAGAGTTCGAATCCCCGCTCAGCCATGAAGCTAACTGGGTGCAACTTCAGGCCAGACACTGCTTCTCAGCCTAACCTACCTCACAGGGTTGGTTGTAATGATTCAATGAGGAGTGGGGGGTGGGGGGTGGAGACCATGTTTGCCACCTTGCTCTCCTGCCTCCTGCAATAGCAGCACTGAAGTGACTTCCCCAGGGTGCAAGCCTGGAAGTCCTAGGCTGCCCAGACGGCAAGACCCCCCCCCTTTCGGCCTCGCTGATGGGGTCCAAAAGAGAGAGAGGTTGTAGAGAAATGGAATTCAGAATATACATACTGTACCAATTGTGTAGCAGCTATAATAACAGGAACAGGAACAGGAACAGTAATAATAATCTAGTTATACCCCACCCATCTGGCTGGGTTTCCCCAGCACTCTGGACAGCTCCAACAGAATATTAAAAACACAATAAAGCATCAAACATTAAAAACTTCCCTAAACAGGGCTGCCTTCAGAAGTCTTCTAAAGTGAGATAGTTGTTTATTTCCTTGACATCTGATGGGAAGGCGTTCCACGGAACTGCATGCTGAACAACTGCATCAAAGTTTTGCAGCGTCGGATGCCGCTGTTCACAGTCCATCAGACACACTAGCCATCTTCTAGGATGTTCCGTTCCATTTCTCTTGCTACAGGTTCTCCTGAACAGTCATACCTTGTGTTGCGTTAGGTTCACGTTGAGTCTTTTCGGCTTGCGAACGCAGCAAACCTGGAAATGTATACTTCCGGGTTTTGCCAAGCGCATGCAGAACCATTCTGCGCACTTCGCAAATGCGCAGAAGCACTCTGTCGCTCTCTGCGCTTGTGCAGAAGTGCCGCCGTAGTTGGGAACTTTTGGGGGTGTGAATGGCACCCCGGAACAGATCGTGTCCACAACTAGAGGTACCACTGTATGCCAATAAAGGAGATAGATGATAGATAGATAGATAGATAGATAGATAGATAGATAGATAGATAGATGATAGATAGATAGATAGATGATAGATAGATAGATGATAGATGATAGATGATAGATAGATAGATAGATAGATAGATAGATAGATAGATAGATAGATATAGATAGATTAAAGGAATCTTAACCACAATTCAAGTTTGGTTTCTGAAAACCACACGTTCCTTTGCGTCTTTCTGTGTATTATAAACCACTGTCCAGCGAAGGGTCCTTTAACTCTTCCAGCTGGGTGTTACAAAGTCAGAGGAAACTCAAAGCAAAAATTTGCTGGAAAATGGGATGGTTATAGAAGATATGTTCAAAAATACAATAATAGTTTTGACTCTGTGCTAGCATTCGAGTGATAAAAGAAGTAAAAGGAGGTGGATAACCATTAAGGATTTATTATGTTTTCAGAATGTATTGGAAAATTTATATAGAAATTTTGTGTACATTCGATTGTAAGATAAAACATATGCAAAGGGACTGGACAGGAAGTCAAAATTGAAGAAAAGATTTTGTAAGATAAAAGGGGGAAACTATTTACTTTCATTATTATCATTTTTATGTGTGTGTGTCTGTACATATGTGTGTTTTTATATGGAATGCTTGGGAGGAAATAAGACGGTAAATAACAAATACCAAAAAAATCCTGCCGGGTGTCACAGTTTGCCTGTCTCTCGCCTTCCTCCCCGCAGGGAAGTGATCCAGATCGACCAGTTCCTGAAGGAGACGGCCGCCCGTGAGGCCAACGCCAAAGTCCGCCTCCAGCAGTTCATCGAGGAGCTCCTGGATCGAGCCGACCGGGCAGAGAAGCAGCTGCAGATCATCAGCAGCAGCTGCGGGACGACCCCCAACTGCAGCCTGGGGAGGTGCAGCGTGGCTGGATCCAAGAGCACAGGAAGACCGGTACCCGAGCGACGCCCGTTCTAAGCATATAGGAAACTGCTCTATACTGAGCCAGACACATCGGTCCCTCCAGCCTCAGTGTTGCCTACGCTGACTGGCAACAGCGGCTTTCAGGCAGGGTTCACTCCCAACCCTGCTTGGAGATCCTGGGGGTTGAACCCAGGACACCTTGACATACGAGGCCAATGCCGTCCCTCTGAGGGGGCAATTCTGCCTAGCAAATGGCTCTGGAAGGGGGAGGGAAGCAGAGCCAAGAGGGGATTGACTGGGCGTGGGTGGGGTATGGTCTGAGGACAATGCCAGGGGCCAGAGAGAGAGCCTTGCGGACCACACCTGAGGTTCCCTACCCGTAAATTATATTTAATACCTCAAGGACCGCCTCTCCCCATATGAACCTACCCAGACCCTGAGATCATGTTCTGAGGCCTCCTCCTCGAAGGTCCAGAGGGTGGCAGGAAGAGAGTTTGGATTTGATATCCCGCTTTATCACTACCCGAAGGAGTCTCAAAGCGACTAACAATCTCCTTTCCCTTCCTCCCCCACAACAAACACTCTGTGAGGTGAGTGGGGCTGAGAGACTTCAGAGAAGTGTGACTGGCCCAAGGTCACCCAGCAGCTGCATGTGGAGGAGCGGAGACGCGAACCCGGTTCCCCAGATTACGAGTCCACTGCTCTTAACCACTACACCACACTGGCAACACGAGAAACAGGGCCTTCTCTGCAATGGCTCCCCATCTGTGGAGTGCTCTCCCCAGGGAAGTTCGCCTAGCTCCTTCATTATACACCTTTAGGTGCCAGGCAAAAAAACATTCCTTTTTAACCAGGCCTTTGGCTGATCTGATTTACATCCTATGCCCTTTTAAAACGTGTTTTCTTTTTTTGGAGGGGAGGACGCTATTGGGTTGTTGTTTTTATTTTTGTTATGTATTTTGTGGTTTTATATTCTTGATTTTATTCTGTGAACCACCCTGACACCCCCAGGTATAGGGCGGTATATGAATTCAATAAATAAATAAACAAATAAATTTATATATTTTTTCCTGCATTGCAGGGGTTGGACTAGATGACCCTTGGGGTCCCTTCCAACTCTGCAATTCTACGCTGCTATGGTTTAAAACATGGGTAGGCAAACTAAGGCCTGGGGGCTGGATCAGGCCCAATCACCTTCTCTATCCGGCCCGTGGATGGTCTGGGAATCAGCGTGTTTTCACATGAGTAGAATGTGTCCTTTTATTTAAAATGCATCTCTGGGTTATTTGTGGGGCATAGGAATTCGTTCATCCCCCCCCCCCAAAAAATATAGTTTGGCCCCCCACAAGGTCTGAGGGACAGTGGACCAGCCCCCTGCTGAAAAAGTTTGCTGACCCGTTTTAGAGGCAGGAATCATGTATCGCCAGGGTCTCTTCTGTGATGCTCATGTGGGGGTGCAAAAGTGGGGTGGAAATGGTTCTGCTCAAGCACTTTGTAATCTCATCCATTGAGGGGGTGAAAGAGTCTTCTGATCCCCAGTTTCTTGTCTCCGCAGAGAGACAGGCACTCGGTTCCCGGAGCAACAGCACACAGTTCGTACGCGGTTTCCAACCAAAGATCATCTTCCAGCACCGGGTGAGGAATTGTTTGTTTGTTTCATAAAATTTAGACACTGCTTGACTGGGAAAACATACAACCGTTCTCAAAAACGATAAAACAATAAAATTAACCAACAAAAAATGAGAACAACAATTTAAGTGAAAATACAAACAGGCTAAAAAAACAGATGAAAACTCGCATCAACCTTCAAAACATCTGGGTAAAGGTAAAGGGTAAAGGGACCCCTGACCATTAGGTCCAGTCGCGGACGACTCTGGGGTTGCGGCGCTCATCTTGCTTTATTGGCCGAGGGAGCCAGCGTACAGCTTCCGGGTCATGTGGCTAGCATGTCTAAGCCGCTTCTGGCGAACCACAGCAGCGCACGGAAACGCCGTTTACCTTCCCGCTGGAGCGGTACCTATTTATCTACTTGCACTTTGATGTGCTTTCGAACTGCTAGGTGGGCAGGAGCATGGACCGAGCAACAGGAGCTCACCCCGTCACGGGGATTCGAACCACCGACCTTCCGATCGGTGTGGTGATCACACAGGGTCCCCGGACGTTTCACCGTCTATTGATCCCTGTGCCACCACGTTACTTCTCGCTGCCACCACCCAGGCCCTACTTGGTACAATACTGAGTCCAGTCAGGGTGAAATTGGAATATAAACTTCTATTTATTGCCGTTTAACAAGCGTGTGGTTTCATAAACGGTATTGGTCAATTGCAATCATGGGCTGCCTATCCAGACCTATAACTTCTGCTACCTGCTCTCACTCACTAAACCACCTCTCAGATATTTACTTGTCTTCCTAGCCCCTAACTGTTCCTGACTTAGCTTATTTCACTACACTAACTCAACCTACCCACAGACTCTATCCCAATTCACTCCCACTCCAACCAACCACCCAGCTCCCAACGAACTCCATCCCTTCGTCCCTCCCAGAGCTGGTTTTATAGTCCCTCTGACTTCACCCCCTGGGTTCTGATTGGGCAACCTGTTTAACTATTTCACCATCACTCTCATATGTTAACGTCACAATCGGCAAGCCCTAGGCTCTGTGGTTTAGACCACAGTGCCACCCACGTCCCTTGTCTAAATGGGAGTGTTTTTAGCAGGTGCCGGGAAAAGTGATGTGATGCTGCCTGCCTGATATCAATGGGCAGGGAGTTCGAAAACATAGTTCTTACAAATACAGAATAGGTATTGGCCCAGAACAGAAATGGGGCAGGCCAAGGGTTGGTCTGGATGGCCTTTGGGTGCCCCTTCCCGCTAGCGTTTCCCTTCTGTGCTTCCAGAGCCTCTAGCCGTGCCAAAGCCGTCTCCCAGAGCTCCGGCTGCTACGACAGCGACAGCCCCGAGCTGTACCAGGCAGACGAGAACGCCGACGGGCAGTCCTACCAGGGCGGGCAGAACCGAAGTTCGGACAGTGCTTTCGACAGGCCCGGTGGGGTGAGGGCTTCGGGTCTCCGCAGGCAGGCCATCCAGAACTGGCACCGCCGCCCTTACCGGAATAGCACCGAGGGCGAAGAAGGAGACATCTCTGACGTGGGCTCCAGGACCACCGAGTCGGAGGCCGAGATGTGGGAGACCGAGCCCCCGGCAGAGGCTCAGCAGGAGAATTTCTCTAGGTCCAGAAACAGCTCGAGGCTGCAAGGTGAGTCTCCTCTGTTGCGGAGAGCAGGGCATGGTGGATTTTCTTCCATAAACCATGTTTATTACAACATTTAAGGCAGCTTCTATTGGGTCAGAGCAACAGCGGCCATTGGGAACCCCCAAAAGCAAAGTCCGCGGGCCTAGAAATTCTGCTGCTTTTGCCATCCATCTGCCTCGAGAGAGCAGAGTTGAATTCCTGACCCCCAAAACGTATTTTTAAGACCCCTCGCTGATTAAACTTGCCAAAATTAAGTCTCCCTCCTTAAGACGTGTTGATGTTTAGAGCGTTAATTTTTGTGTGTACTATTATATTCCAAAAGATTGTTGACTATTGCTTTATTAGATACAAGTCATTCGTTTTAAAGTTATGTTTGATAATGACTTCCTGCATTGGATCAGATTGTTGTAAGACGTGTGTCCTTTGTTGTATATGTTGTTGCCACATACCGCCTTGTGTATTGCAGTACAGTCATACCTCGGGTTACAGAGGCTTCAGGTTGCGTTTTTTCGGGTTGCGGACCCCTGAAACCTGGAAGTACCGGAACGGGTTACTTCCAGGTTTTGGCGGTTGAGCATGCGCAGAAGTGCTAAATTGCACTTTGCGCATGTGCAGAAGCACCGAATCACAACCCATGCATTTGCAGACACGCCGCTGTGGGTTGCGAACGTGCATCCCACATGGATCACGTTCGCAACCCAAGTGTCCACTGTATACGAAGGCAGTACACAGGTACCTCAGTTTTCGGACGTCTCCATTGCTGAACTTTTCAGCTTTCGAATGCCGAAAACCCGGAAGTAAATGCTTCCATTTTTGAATGCGCCTCTGAAGTCAAACGGCTTCTGCTGTGTGTACCTGTTGTTTTTCACAATTTTCTCTACTGAATTGGCAGGCCGCTCGGCCTTGTAACATTTCAGAAGTCGAACGGTCTTCCGGAACGGATTACGTTCGAAAACCGAGGTAACACTGTACCTACAAATTAAAAAAGTGAAAGGAAATGGAAAATGGAAAAAAAAAATGACACGCCCTAATGTGCCCAGACAACTTTATGGATCTCTTATGTCACAGCCAGGTCTGAAGGAGGGAAGGCAGTCCGGCCTGAGAGAGGCAGCCCGGCTCGCTCAAACGAGGTCATCAGCCCTGAAATCCTCAAGATGCGAGCCGCTCTCTTCTGCATTTTCACGTATCTCGACACCAAGACGCTGCTGAGGGCAGCCGAGGTCTGCAAGGACTGGAAGTTTGTGGCGCGGCACCCTGCCGTGTGGACCCGGGTGCTCCTGGAGAACGCCAGGGTGTCATCCAAGGTGAGCCAAAGTCTTGAGATTGCTGTGGCTTACTGGCTTTTGTTGTCTATTTGTGTTGTTTTTCAAAAAATAATTTTTATTTGATTTTACAAGCAAAAAGTTGTAACAATACCAAATACATATCCATATATAGAGATTTCTCTGAATTCCTCGACTTCCCTCGATGGGTCCTATTGTCAACATTTTCAACTGCGTATTATTACAGAATCCATATTTTGTATCTTTCCATATTGTCCATCATATTAGTGACATTACAAGTGTTGTTAAAATCCTGCTAATGTTTTCATCTGCTTACAGTGGTCTCCTAAGGTAGATTATAAACTTTCCCCATTCTTTCTTGAAATTATTGTCTTCTTGGTTCCTGAGCTTTCTGGTCAGTTTTGCCATTTTGGCATATTCTAACAGCTTAATTTCTCATTCCTCTCTGGTGGGGATTTTATCTTCTTTCCATCTTTAGGCTAGTACCATCCTTTTTTTGTTTTGTTTTGTTTTTTTAAATTGAACTCTATGATCCAAATATTGCGCCCATTTTCTCATATGTGTATCCTGGTTCTGATCCAAGTTTAACCAGAGCTTATAGGATTTTGAAGTTATGCCTGTATCCAAGTGGGAGCTAAGCAGAACGTCAGGGCCTGAAAGGATATGGAAGAGTGGCGCTTGCCTGGCATTTAATGTCCCTTGTCCTTCCACAGTTCCTGGTCATGCTGTCACAGTGGTGCACCCAAACACACTCCCTCACCCTCCAAAACCTCAAGCCCCGTCAGAGGGGAAAGAAGGAGACCAAGGAGGACTACATGAAAAGCACACGGTGAGTCAGACCCTCCTGGCAAGTCGGTCAGGGAAACTGACAAGCTAGAAGGTGTGCAGAGGTGGGTGTCAGATGCTGGTGGTGGTTGCTCGTGAGTAGCCAGGCAGGACTCCGACGTGTCTTTTACAGGTTTTATTGTGCAAACTATTTACAGTGCAGATCCACAAAGTTCATGTCTGTCTTAGTCACTTGCAGAATCCGGGAGTGGCCCCTTCCGGTTTCTCCCCCAACATAAGAACTTCGACACCCCAACCCTCCTCCTCCCCTCCTTGCGTTTCATCCCTCTGCACAAGCTGGGCAATGGAACTGGCGTGCATCCCTCCTGGCCAGCCTGGCTAGGTGAGGTGCTGGGGCTCTCAACAGCGTCCTTGAGCCCTTCCCCCTCTTCTCCACTGGAGGTGTGGCTTTTCCCACCGCTGGAAGAAGAACTGCTCCTCAGGAGTTTTGGAGGCTCTCTGTATCCCAACAGCCCCCCTGCCTCCCTCCCCTGTTCTGATAGCAGTCCCCTGACAGTGGGCAACCAATATATTCAAGGGTCTGGAAACCAAGCCTGATGAGGAACGGTCGAGGGAGCAGGGTATGTTTAGCCTGGAAAAGAGGAGGAGACTGAGAGGAGCTATGAGAGCCATCTTCAAATATCAGGCTTAACATGAGTCCACAGTGTGAGGTAGCAACAACAAAAAGCTAATGCTATTCTAGGCTTCGTCAACAGAAGTGTAGTACCCTGGTCAAGAGAAGGAATAGTCCCACTCTATCCTGCCTTGGTCAGACCACACCTGGAATACTGTGTCCAGTTCTGGGCACCACAATTTCAGAAGAATGTTGACAAGCTGGAAGGTGTGCAGAGGAGGGCAACCAAGATGATCAGGGGTCTGGAAACCAGGCCTTATGAGGAACGGTCGAAGGAGCCGGGTATGTTTAGCCTGGAAAAGAGGAGACTGATAGGATATATGAGAGCCATCTTCAAATATCTCAAAGGCTGTTGCATGGAAGATGGAGCAAGATTGTTTCATCCTGCTCTGGAGTGTTAATGGGTTGTTCTTATTTTGATTTTATATATTGTGATCTTTTCTGTGACCTCTGGGTATAGGATTACCAGACGTCCCATTTCCTGGGGACAGTCCCTGGGTTTGCGAATAAGTCTCCGGACAAATTCCATCAACGGAATGTCCCCGGATTTCATCTGATGTCCCCGGGAAATGCAGTGGCGGCAGTCTCAGCAGCCTGGAGCAGTTGGATCTGGCTGGCTTCAGGAGCTGCTCGGAAGTCCCCCTATGATGGTGTTGCAGGGGCTCAAAGACGCAGCTTCCGGGCTGCCTCCCCCTTCCCTGACCCCAGCAACTAAGCTGCGAAGGGAGGCTTCATGCTGCCTGTCGGAGCAGCCTCCCAACTCCTACTTGCGTGCAAGCAGGAGCGGGGCAGGGATCTCTCAGCTGGGAAGGGAGGCTTCACGCTGCCTATCAGAGCTTGTGTGCAAGCAGGAGTAGGAATGGGACTGGGGCAGCTCCAATGGAAAGGTAGGCATCGCGCTGCCCGAGCCTCGCCGCCACTCTCAGCCCTCCTTCTCCGCCTTCCATGCCTGACCCACCTCGCACCGCTTCCCCACCACCACTGAAGAACCAACAACTCAGGGGCTGCCCAGGCTCATGGAGAAAGGAGATAGAAGCCTCAGAGGAAGAGGAAATGTGAGGTCAAGGCGGCAGCCGCCCCTCTGCCACCGCCATCACTGCAGCAACAGCGGTGCCAGAAATCGCGTCTGCACACGCGCAGACGACGAAAATCGCGGACGCTCACACAATCCAGCCCACAGGGGGATCTCCGCGGGACCGATCCGGCCCAGGCAAGATAAACCTTGCCGACCCCTGCTCTGAAGGAAGCCATCATCAGCAATGTCTAGGCAACACGATGGCCATGTACATATGCAATAAACAATGTTTTATAGAATTCCTTCAGACCCTAACAAAGTCCAAAATGAAATCTATCGTCTTAAAGTCTCTTAAAATCTTTAAATGAAGTGAGGTACCAGACTTTGTACAATGAAAGACTCATCTTATTTTGAATGAATGTATGTAAATGAAAATATCAATTATTATTACATGAGCACTGTTCCACAGCATTTGATATATTCATTTACATACATTCATTAAAAATAAGATGGGCTTATGAAGCAATTCCATATCCTCCCACCACGCCGACGAAGAATTCTACGAAACAGTAGTCAATATCCGGAATCACCGTTCAGTGTTGGACATCATATTTGCTGAATACACAAAGCTTCACAGCTTGTCTTTCATCGTACAGTCTGGTGCCTCGCTTCATTTAAAGGTTTTCAGAGACTTTGAGTCTAAAGATTTCATTTTGGACTTGTTAGGGTCTGAAGGAATTCCATAAAAGATTGTTTATTGCGTATGTACATGCCATCGTGTTGCCTAGACATTGTTGTCGTTCTCTTTGCAACGCAGGGGTTGGTTTGGTTACTTACTGAAGGAAACCATGGCAGTTAAAGACGTATAAAACTGCCCTGGGTTTTGTGGTGCAAAGATCTGCCCCGGCTGCCTTCTTCCCCTTCGCCATTTGGACAACTCGATGGTAGAGCACAAGACTCTTAATCTCAGGGTTGTGGGTTCGAGCCCCACATTGGGCAAAGGAGTCATGTATTAAAGGGGGTTGGTCTAGATGGCCCTCGTGGTCCCTTCCAACTCTACAATTCTGATGATATGGACCTTTCCTTCACAGGGGCTGCCTCGAAGCTGGCCTGGAGTCGCTGCTGAAGGCCACCGGAAGCAACCTCTTGATTCTCCGGATTTCGCACTGCCCCAACATCTTGACAGATCGCTCCCTCTGGCTGGCCAGCTGCTACTGTCGAGCGCTCCAAGCCGTCACCTACCGGTAGGCGGACAGAATGCAACTCTCTTTTTAAAATAATAATAATAACAATAACAATAATAATGGCATTTTTAAAAATTTACATATACCAAAAAGAAAAAAACAATACATAAAAGAAAAAGGAAAAGGAAAAGAAAAAGAGAAAAAGAAAAAGAAAGAAAGAAAGAAAGAAAGAAAGAAAGAAAGAAAGAAAGAAAGAAATTTGTCAAATACACAAAATTATTCAAGGAGTACAAACCATAATTTGAATAATCTATACACCAAATTCCTAGAAAGAAATTACCTTCATGTTTCTCCTTTTCTTTTTCATTCTTTACAGTCACTTTCTTTCCTTTTCACTAAACTGGTTTGAGTCCCTTATATGTTTATTCACTTCCCCCTATCTCTATGCGGCTTCAACAGTCCTCTTACATTAAAATTATCTGTATTCAACCGTTGAAAAAGAAAAATCCCTTATATCTGTGGAATTAATGTAGGCACAACCGAGTGTTGTTTTTGGAACAGTATTTTGTCAGGTAATTTTTAAAACAATCCCATTCCTTTTTTTAACCATTTCGCCTGAGTGGTTTCTTATTAATTCTGTCATTTTGGCAGGTTCGCGACAAAATGCGGTTCTCAACCAATTTAGAAATGTGGCAGTGAGGTGCAGTGGTTAGAGCACCAGACTAGGGCCAGGGAGAGAGCAGGGTTCAAGTCCCGGCTCGGCCAGGAATGAATCTCTCTGCCTCTCAGCCTAGCCTACCTCACAGGCCTGTTGTGGGGATGAAATGAGGAGGGGGAGAAACAGAAAGAAACACAAAAAAATCAGATAAAACACCGGTAAATAAGAAGCAGAACCTAACCTTGTTTTCCGCTGGCAAAACTGGACCCTAGGCAGATTCTCTTTTTCTTTCTTTCTTTTTTTAATTTACATTTTATTTATTTGTTAACATTCTTATATTACATCGGTAAACGTTGCCATATTACATTACAGGACTTACTATAATATAATTTCCAACATGTATACAAAAATTATATACAAATTTTATATACCTAGAAAGAAAATGAAACAAAAAAAAAGAAAGAACAAAGAGGGGAAAAAACAACACACACCCCCAAAATCATACACATACCAACACACTAGACTTCCTGTCTTTCCCGTTGTATATTCCTTTTTTACAAATGAATGCACTCTTATTATTGTATATTTCTTTACATATTATCTAATGCATTCCTATATCATTATGTGCTCTTAGTCTTATTTCTCAACTCAGTCTCACTCCAACGTCAATCAAATGCTAGCATAGATAGCGAACCTTTGCTGTATTTTTTAATGTATGTTTTATATCTATCCCATTTTTCCATAAATTTTTGTTTTGAATTGCCTCTCAGGGTATTTGTTAACTGCGCCATTTCAGCAAATTCCTGTAGCTTGAAATGCAAGTTTGTTATTGTCGGGGCTTCTTGTTCCTTCCACCCCTTTGCCACCACAGTCCGAGCTGCGGCCTTTGCAAAGACCTTCCTGAGTGGGAGGTCTTCAGCCAAAGATTTTTTTCCCCCGCTGTCAATGGGCATATATGCAAAGCCACTTAATTACTGCCGTTTATGCAAGCTGGGTGGGAGGCCTGTAGCCAACGATCGGGCTAGCCCGTCAATCGGCATATGCAAAATTACTTAATTACTGTAATTTATGCAAGCTGTAGAGTTCTTCTTTTTCTTCCCTGTCTTGGCATCAGATGTTGTCGCCTGGCCACAGAATTCTGTGCTGCAAATGGAGGAAAAACACAATTGGAAAGAAAATCCTAGTATGGCTAGGGATCACACTTTTTAGATGCAATTTTTAAAAAATAGTCCTACCTATAGTAGCATCTGGAGAGGCACGGAATGTTTTCCTGGCATCAAGAGAAGGGCGTGTGTGCTTTGCCAGCTGATCTTCTGTGTGTCTGGCTGAGCTATTGTTTTGGGAGAAATGATTGCTTTTCTGGATCCGGGAGGAAGATGCAGCTGTGAGGTTTGGTGGGTGAAAGGGAGCAGAGTTTTGTTTGCTTAGTCATTTAGTTGTGTCTGACTCTTCGTGACCCCCTGGACCAGAGCACGCCAGGCACTCCTGTCTTCCACTGCCTCCCGCAGTTTGGTCAGACTCATGCTGGTAGCATCGAGAACACTGTCCCACCATCTCGTCCTCTGTCGTCCTCTTCTCCTTGCGCCCTCCATCTTTCCCATCATCAGGGTCTTTTCCAGGGAGTCTTCTCTTCTCATGAGGTGGCCAAAGTCTTGGAGCCTCAGCTTCACGATCTGTCTTCCCCTTAAGGAATAAATAATTTTTAAAATAGGAAATGGAATGAATGGAAGGGAGGGAGGCGGTGGCCAATTTTGCTGACCTTTTCTGAGGACCCAAGTCATCAGGCTGTTGCTGTTTGAACTCCCCATCTCCAGACAGGGCTGGGGAAAATTTGGCACATCCTGATTCTGAATAAAGCACCTTCCTGTGTCCCTATGAACGAAAACTGAACTGAAAGGACTCCCTTTGCTCCAATTGTTCATTCATTCGGAAACGAATCCATATTCCCCTGTGCGCCAGGAGATTGGGGAGAAGGAGGCCTTTGCCCTTCATCCCAGGCCGACAGCGGAGGTGTGAAATAATAAGGAACCTTTTCTTTGCTTCAAGCCTGGGGGTGTGACAGGTGAGCATCTGTAATAGAATTTTAAGGTCATATATATAATAAATCTTCATAAATATACCACCGTCTGGAGCAGCACAGGAAGACCTCCTGAAACCATTTTGACTCCCAAGCTGACCAAATGTTTTTCTGCAAGGAGGGAGCAGGGTGAGGGAACCTACATTGTCACAGGAATTAAGTAATCACCATTTCAAATGGAATGGGCAGACTACCAGGAAAGGCAATCAGATAAGGCATTATCAGAATCCCTGCCAGACGGGAAAAACAACAACACTCAAATTTCTGTTGTAGACCGCCTTTTCTGCGATGTAGGTATGATGTTTGTGGGGGGTGGTCTTAGGTTATACCCCTTCTGTGGTGTATGTATGATGTATGGAGGGGTGGTCTTGAGCTCCAGGACAGGGAATTAAAAATGTCTATATAAGGGCTTCCACACTGTTGTTCTGGGTTCCTCCTCCTTTCCTGCGGGTGAGGAGATCTTCCCTGTTGCAACAGATCAATAAAGATCAGGCTTACGAGCTGCTTTGCTTCTCAATAGTCTCTGGTTGGTCTCTGTTATTTTCTCCTACCAATAGGGAACCCACGTAAGGACTCTATAAGAGCTCTTGTGTCCCCCATAAGGGAATAAGGGCAGATTTTGTTTACAGCACACCACGGCTGGGCTTTATCCTCAGCAAGACTGCCATGGCGAAGCGGCTTAGCATGCCGGCGGAGGAGTGCAATACTGTCCCCGTGTCAGGACGTCTGGGAGAAACCGTGCAATTAGCCCAGCTTGAATGGGCTGGTGAGATTGTCTTAGATTAGGAGGCTGAGCTGGCGTGGAGAACACATCTGGGATGCGCAGAGGAGCTGTGGGTGGCTCTTTGCGAAACAAGTGGCTGGGGTGGGCTCGCTCTGAAAGGCTGAGCATCTCCCACTGAGAAAAAGGTCACAGCATTCCCACTGTTATAAGAAAATAGGCTCCCTTTCCCTTATGGGGTATTCTGGAGCCCATCCTTAAGTGGATTCCCTACACTGGCTCCCAGTACATTTCTGAGCACAATTCAAAGTGTTGGTGTTGACCTTTAAAGCCTTAAACGGCCTCAGAACGATGGGGCTGGAGACCCTCCTTCAGGTATACTGGGTCGAGGCCGTTTAGGGCTTTAAAGGTCAGCACCAACACTTTGAATTGTGCTCGGAAACGCACTGGGAGCTGATGTAGGTCTTTCAAGACCGGTGTTACGTGGTCTCGGCGGCCGCTCCCGGTCACCAGTCTAGCTGCCGCATTCTGGATTAATTGCTGTTTCCAGGACACCTTCAAAGGTAGCCCCACGTAGAGCGCATTGCAGTAGTCCGAGCAGGAGATAACTAGAGCATGCACCACTCTGGCGAGACAGTCTGCAGGCAGATAGGGTCTCAGCCTGTGTACCAGATGGAGCTGGTAGACAGCTGCCCGGGACACAGAATTGACCTGTGCCTCCATGGACAGCTGTGAGTCCAAAATGACTCCCAGGCTGCGCACCTGGGCACAGTTCAGGGGCACAGTTACCCCATTCAGGACCAGTGAGTCCCCCACACCTGCCCGCCTCCTGTCCCCCAAAAACAGTATGAGGGACCTGGGCGTGTTCTGCCTGGAGAAAAGGAGACTGAGAGGAGATAGGATCTTCAACTATCTCTGGGGCTGTCACATGGAAGAGGGAACAAGCTTGTTTTCTCCTGCCCTGGAGGGCAGGACTCGAACCAGTGGCTTCAAGTTACAAGAAAGGAGATTCTGACTGGACGTAAGGAAAGACTTTCTGTCTGAAAGAGCTGTTTGACAGTAGAAGTGGTGGACTCTCCTTCCTTGGAGGTTCAGAGCTGGAGAGGGGAGCACAAGATGTGTTGGAAGAGGCAGGCCAGGCAAGTGAAGGGCTGGGTGTTTCCCCAGCCTCTCCTGCACCACTGTCTCCCAGAACCAGCGGCGGACTGAAAAGGGATGAGCAAAGGGAGCTCCATGCAGGCATAGTCTCTGGCTGCATGAGAACAGCCCCTTAGCGGGAGGTACATAGAGTTAACTATCTGCAGTGCCCATTTCACCCAGCCAGCCAGCCACCAGCTGGTGTCATCTGAAGGCTGCTAGGGTGGGGTTAAATCCTATGTCGGCTGTGCATCCCTGTTTCCAACAGCTAATGAATGGGGTTAAATCCTGCTCAGTCTGGCAGGATCATTAGCAAAACAACAACAAACCTATGATTACATGAAACGTATTCAAAAAACACATAAGATGTAATCGGCTGTACTTTTGAATAAATAAGGTATACTATTTATTGTATCAAATGTAGATTTCAACGGAAGTCTCATAAAGTTCAACGGAAAAAGCAGAAGACCGAGTGGATCAGTTCATTCTATATTCTATTCATGCATAAGGTCCATACATGTATAAATATAATAAATATTTATTATACAGTCTGGCAGGATTGCATAGAAACAGGTACAGTGAAGGGGCCTGTCTGGTCTCAATTGGCGGGGAGTTCCAAAGTTTAGGTGCCGCCACACTAAAAGATTGAGCGCTCACAAATGCAGAATGGCACCTGTCACGGAGTATGCCTGTCAGCAGATCACACCCTTCAAAGCTGGAGTTAACCCTTTATTGGCTCTTCACAGACTTGGCTGAGTTTCCTGCCTAATAAAACTGCTGCCACATTTTGCAAAGCTAAGCAGGGTCCAGGTTCAAATTGGATGGGGGACTGAGTGTTGCGATACCTACATTGCATCGGGGTTGGACCAGCAGGCGCAATCAGCAACAAGTCTCTTGTAAGTGGGGCAGGGGATGCAGTGAAACAAATTCACTTTGAAAAGATGCTTGACTTTAATCATGAAAGAAATTCAAGGCAGGTGGACTCATACAGTGATAGGCGTGCAGACGATCGTGGGGTCTTTCGCCTCTCCATTATTTGGATGATTTCCTGCGGCAGATTGCACGGGCACAGAAAAAGTGCTCGCCTGACATTTGCTCTGCCTGCTATTCCATGCATATCCTTCCCAGCTGAGACAGTGCTGTTGAACCCGATCTGGCTTTCGCTGCTGGCAACGAATCCTGCAAAACCATCAGCAGTCACTTCTTGCCATTCACTTTATTGCTTCAGGAAGAGCAGCTTTTGCTGTGACTTTTCCTTCTAGGCAGCCCCAGTTCACCTCCCAAGACTGCTGCTACTCAGCCCGTAGGAGGCTGCTTGGTCTAGTTTAGAGAAAAGGCACGCGAACAAGCTGGCAGGATGATAAGAAAGCGGATGGGAAAACGTTTCCCTCCCTCTCGTTCTGCCCAGACACTGAGGTCCAGCACCGAGGGCCTTCTGGCGGTTCCCTCCTTGCGAGAAGTCAAGTTACAGGGAACCAGGCAGAGGGCCTTCTTGGTAGTAGCGGCCCCCTGTGGAACGCCCTCCCACCAGATGTCAAAGAGAAAAATAACTACCAAACTTTTAGAAGATATCTGAAGGCAGCCCTGTTTAGGGAAGCTTTTAATGTTTAATAGGTTATTGTATTTTAGTGTTTTGTTGGAAGCCGCCTGAAGTGGCTGGGGAAACCCAGCCAGATGGGTGGGGTATAAATAATAAATAATAAATTATTATTATTATTATTAAATGCCAATGAACATCCAGTGGAGGCAACTGCTGGAGGATTATGGTCAGAAAAAGGAAAGTACTAACTTCCACAGTTAACTTGGGGAACTCCCTCCCACAGGAAGCTGTGATAGCGACCAGCTTGGATGCATTTAAAAGGGGATCAGACAAATGCATGGAGGAGAGGATGGGATGGATCTAGACACAGGGGAAAAACCACTATAAATAAGTCAGAAATTAAATTATAACAAAAGGGGGGGAAATCTCTATGGAAAATCGTGTTTTAAAATTTCCTGCTCTCTGGCGCCATCTGGTGTTGCATGTTTATAGCGCATTCAAATCGCTGTTTCTTCACTAACGTAGCTGAGTCCCTAGATGCGGCAAAGAAATTTGTTTTCAGGCCTCACAATGGCATGCTTAATTGCAGGGCTCTGTGGTTTATTTATTTGAAGCTAAAGTCAGGCTGAGCAGGCAGTGGCCCCTTCTCCTCCCACCGTTTTGCAGCTCAGAATCGCCCTCCCCTAAGTGCTTTTCCATTCGCAGACGGAACCATGCAAGGCAGGGGTCAGCAAACTTTTTCAGCAGGGGGCCACTCCACTGTCCCTCAGACCTTGTGGGCCGGACTATATTTTGGGAACAAATATGATGCAAGAGCACCACGAGCCCCGGTGGCTGCTTACCTGTGTTTTGCGAGCGGCAGGGGCTGGTGGCGGCGGAACAAGGAGCGGCGCGCAAAAGTGCTCCGGAGAGGGGCTGCTTAAAATGGCGGCCACTCGAGAGCTGCTGCTGCTGGCACCAACAAAGCCCAGCCCCCTTCCTCCTCTAGGCAGGGCGGGGAGAAGCCAGGAGGAGGGAGGGAGAGAGGAGGTGCGTCACCGCCATGGGAGGGAGAGGGAAAGAACGTGCGCACTGGCGATCCACGCAGCGATTCCCGGACCTTCCGCGGGCTGGATCCAGCAGGCAATTGGGCCTGATCCAGCCTGTGGGCCTTAGTTTGCCAATCCATGATCTAGGGCTTACCTTTGTCTTGCGAGCGGCAGGGGCTGGTGGCGGCGGGACGAGGAGCGGTGTGCGAAAGTGCTCCAGAGAGGAGCTGCTTAAAATGGTGGTCGCTCGAGCGCTGCTGCTGCTGGTGCAAACAAAGCCCATGCATGGAGGCGAGGGCTGTTGATGGCTGTTGGTATTATGGCTACGCTCTGCCCTTCACCGTCGGAGGTTTCTGAATTCCAGTTCCTGGAAACCACAGGAGGGACGATGGGTGCTGTGTTCGAATCCTGCTTGCGAGATTCACAATGAGGCATCTGGTTGGCCGTTATGAGAGCAGGACGCTGGGCTGGAGGGGCCATTGGCACAAGGCAGCTTTTGCTGTTCCTCTGTTTTCTCTCTCCTTCCTTCCCTTCTTCCCTCGTTCGTCCCCGTCCTCCCGGCAGGATCAGGCCCACCTGGGCAGCTCCTGCTTGGCAGCTCAGCATCCTGCCCACGTGTTTTAATTAACGGCAAGCCAAGCCGGTCGGGGCGCCTTGGCAGGCGACTTCCTGGGAGATGGATGAGCGTTCCAGATAATATGATCCTGCTTATTTTTAGGCTCAACCGAAGCGTAGAAGTAGGTCATTCACAAATTAGAAAACAGCAAAGCTTACCTTTTAGGTAGAGAGGGGGCACCAGGTAATTCTCACCCCGGGGGCTTTGCCTGGGCCTACCCTTTTGCCTCTTCCACCCAAAAGAGGGACAAACCTGAGACGTTTTTCATATCGGAAATCCAAATGGCACCTTCACCCTAGGTCAGGGTTGCCATATTTTGAAGAGCAAAAAAGAGAACACATTTGCCAGCGCCTGGGGTGGGAGGGAAGGGGTGTGGGAGCAGGCGCACGCTACAATGTCCCTTCAAAATGTACAAAAACTTGGCAGTGGTCATTATTGGCACATGATGATGATGATGATGATGATGGCATTACCTGCTAAGGGCAGTACCTGTGGCAGGAGACACTTCATGCTCCTTCCAGGCTAGTTATTTATTTATTTATACATACATACATACATACATACCCTGCCCATCTGGCTGGATTTCCCCAGCCACTCTGGTCGTCTCCCAACAGAATATTAAAAACACAATAAAACATCAAACATTAAAAACTTCCCTAAACAGGGCTACCTTCAGATGTCTTCTAAAAGTCAGATAGTTGTTTATTTCCTTGACATTGGATGGGAGGGTGTTCCACAGGGCGGTGCCACTACCGAGAAGGCCCTCTGTCTGGTTCCCTGCAACCTCACATCTCACAGGGAGGGAACCGCCAGAAGGCCCTCAGAGCTGGACTTCAGTTTCTGGGCTGAATGATGGGGGTGGAGACATTCCACCTCAATCAATCAATCAATCAATCAATCAATCAATAATTTTCACTCGCCTTGCTAAATCCTAAATATAAATCATCCTCCTGCTAATTCCCATGAAACACAGTTCACGCTCTCCAGTGCTTCTTAGTTTGGCTATGCTTCTATTTTCATCAACGCAGAATCCACCTGCCAAAGGATGCCATTTTTGAGGAATCTAAAGAACACCTGAGTTGTGGGAAAGGGTGGATCAGACGCAATTTGACGCTCACCTGCTCCTATGGAGTTGTTCATCTCTTTCCCCCTTCCCATTTCTTCGTTGCAGGAGTTCCACTGACCCCGTGGGCCATGAGGTTATCTGGGCACTGGGAGCAGGCTGTCGAGACATCATCTCCTTACAGGTGGCGCCGTTGCACCCTTGGTAAGAATGCCGGAGCATGCAATTACCCTCGCTCCTTTGCTGGTATTTTCCTCTCTTTCCTCTGAACTTTTTTTTTAAAAAAACTTTTATTTTGCTTTAAACAGGTACATATAAGCAGGTACATATAAATACAGATATATATTTCCTCAATGCACACACAAACACACACACGCATGGAAATAGCAACACCAGCAGGGCAATTTTCATGGACGAAATTGTGTGTGCAGGGAGGGTTCCAGCACTGCGGCAGCAGTCAGACTCTCTCACACACACTCCGTGGCTGATGTGAAACTTTTCAAAAACACCTCTCAAAGTGCAACTGGGAGGGCTCTAGACACAGGGGGAAAACCACTATAAATAAGTCGGAAATCAGATTATAACAAAAGGGGGAAAAATCTCTATGGAAAATCGTGTTTTAAAATTTCCTGCTCTCTGGCACCATCTGGTGTTGCATGTTCATAGCGCATTCAAATCACTGTTACTTCACTAACATAGCTGAGTCCCTAGATGCGGGAAAGAAATTTGTTTTCAGGTCTTGCAATGGCATGCTTAGTTGCAGAGCTCTGTGGTTTATTTATTTTAAGCTAAAGTCAGGCTGAGCAGGCAGTGGCCCCTTCTCCTCCCACCGTTTTGCAGCTCAGAATCGCCCTCCCCTAAGAGCTTTTCCATTTGCAGACAGAAACATGTAGGGCAGAGGTCAGCAAACTTTTTCAGCAGGGGGCAGCTCCACTGTCCCTTAGACTTTGTGGAGGCCGGACTATATTTTGGGAGCAAAAATGATGCAAGAGCACCACGAACCCCTGGTGGCTGCTTACCTGTGTCTTGCGAGCAGCAGGGGCTGGTGGTGGCAGGACGATGAGCGGCGCACAAAAGGGCTCCGGAGAGGGGTTGCTTAAAATGGTGGCCACTCAAGCACTGCTGCTGCTGCCGCTGGGGCAAACAAGGCCCAGCCCCCTTCCTCCTCTAAGTAACCAAACCAACCAACCCCTGTGTTGCAAAGAGAACGTCAGCAATGTTTAGGCAACACGATGACTATATACATAAGTAATAGACAATCTTTATAGAATTCCTTCAAACCATAAGAAGTACAAAATGAAATCTTTAGTCTCAAAGTCTCTGAAAATCTTTAAATGAAGCGAGGGACCAGACTTTGTACCATGAAAGACAAGCTGTGAAGCTTTGTGTATTCAGCAAATATGATGTCCAACACTGAACAGTGATTCCGGATATTGACTACTGTTTCGTAGAATTCTTCATCAGCTTGGTGGGAAGATATAGAATTGCTTCATAAGCCCATCTTATTTCGAATGAATGTATGTAAATGAGTATATCAAATGCTGTGGAACAGTGCTCATGTAATAATGTAGTCAATGCTGTAGTCACAGCATTTACATACATTCATTCGATATAAGATGGGCTTATGAAGCAATTCTATATCCTCCCACCACGCCGACGAAGAATTCTACGAAACAGTAGTCAATATCTGGAATCACTGTTCAGTGTTGGACATCATATTTGCTGACTACACAAAGCTTCACAGCTTGCCCTTCCTCCTCTAGGCAGGGCGGGGAGAAGCCAGGAGGAGGGAGGGAGGGAGGAGGCGCCGGCGCCGCTACCGTATGAGGGAGAGGGAAAGAACATTCGCACTGGCGATCCACGCGGCGATTCCCGGACCGTCCGTGGGCTGGATCCAGAAGGCAATTGGGCCTGATCCGGCCCTGGGTCTTAGTTTGCCGACCCATGATGTAGGGTCAACAATGGAGACCACAGGTCTTCTATAAGTAAGTAAAATACAGTCATACCTCATGTTACATTTGCTTCAGGTTGAACATTTTCAGGTTGCGTCCCGCGGCGACCCGGAAGTACCGGAAAGGGTTACTTCTGGGTTTTGCTGCACACGCAAAATGACATCATGCGCAGAAGTGGGGAATCGCAGAGACGCAGGTTGTGTTCTGCTCATGTTGCAAACGGGCCTCTGGAACGGATCCCGTTCGCAACCAGAGGTACCACTGTAGATATATTTCACCGCAAGGGTGAGAATTAACTTGGTATCTCCGCTGTCAGAGGCGAGAAATGCCCCTAATTACCAGGAGCTGGGAACCACAACGCAGGAGCAAAAAAAAATAATGGAAGTAAAACTTTGCCTTGTCCCTGTACATCGCCGCTAGAAGCAGCGCTGGCTTCCAGAAGTACATATGGGGATGTGGCGGGGTCGGAGTTGGAGACTGCAAAAGTGCGAGGCAGGGAGGGAGCTCAGAGGGGGTGGGGCATGAGTGAGAGGGGGCGTGGTCTCTTTCGAGGTTGTGTCCCAATTTCCCTCCCTCGGGCGCAGGAGGGTCTGTGCCACCTCCCCCCTGGGAAACCCAAAGTTTGGTGCTTTATCGGAGCAGAAGGCAATCAGGTGTTTTGTGGACTGCTGTTTGTTCCAATTTATCGCCAAAGAATTGGTTTCCCCAGGGGGGAAGCGTTGACAAGCTCCACATCACCTTTTAAACACCCGTCGAAGACGCTCCTTTCCCAACAAGCCTTTTAAGTGGAGATCTGTATCCATACGGGACTTGAAATTGTCCTTACATACGAAATGTATTTTTAATATGCAAGCTGTCCTTAATTGCTTGTGCGGACGGAATGGTTTTGACGCATGGCGTTGTTGTTGTTTTTATTGCTGATGTCTCCACTGCAAAATTGCTTCAAGATCTTTAATGGGAAGTGGTTCCTGGATGGGGTTTAGGACGAACAAACTGCTCTGGTGTCGTTGTTGTGTTTTAGTTGCGATTCCTGGCTTTGCAGGGGGCTGAACTAGATGGCCCCTGGGGTCCCTTACAGCTCTGCACTTCCACAAGGGTAAACAACGGAGAGGCAGCAACGGAATGATATGTGACAAAAAGAGAGAAGTGCGTCTCAAGACCAGTGCCAGTTTGGGATTTATTTTTTATTGTTATGCAAAGGGGAAAAATCCAGCACAATCCGAGATATGAATTTGCATCCACTGCCTTTAGTTCTCTCCCTCCGACGTGCGATAAAACAAGTTTCTAAAAATGCCTTCTCTCTTTGCTTGTTACTCATGGGGGCTGGGAAACAACTGGAGCTAAATTACATCTATTTTCACTGCACAGAACTCCCATAAGCCAAGGCAGATGACACATTCTTCTCCTAATTTGTGCCTGTTAATGACATTATGCAAATTGGAATGCTTTGATCAGCTTCTCATCTGCATTTTTTTCTTCTTCTTCTTCTTCTTCTTTTTTTTCCCCTTCCAAAAAATAAAAAATTCCCTTCCAGCCAGCAACCAACCCGCTTCAGTAACCGCTGCCTGCAGATGATTGGGCGGTGTTGGCCACATTTGAGGGCGCTGGGCGTCGGTGGAGCAGGTTGCGGAGTGCAAGGATTGGCTTCCTTAGGTAAATCTAGCCTCAGGCTCTCCGTCTGCGAAATGGGCTTCTAGGGGGCAGAAAGCCGGGGGCAGAACAGCGAACGTTTTGCATTCTGGGAATGCAGTGGTGAATGCAAGAGGGTGTGTTTGCTTTCTTTCAGGCATGACCACCAGAATATGAAGCCAAAATGAGAAAAGATATAAGGAGGACTAGATATTATTTGTTGATTATATGAAAAATTACTATAAGCAGGCAATTAGCATAGCTGGATGGTCATATTTTCAGCTGTGTAAATTAGAACGAGAGTTAACGGGAGAAGCAGCGAAAGATTGGGGAAACTAAGAAAACGCGAGAGGAAGTGGAAGATAAAAGGAACCATGGATTGAGAGCAAGGGAAGTCTGTCAATGACTGGTTTTTTTCCTTGTGTTGAAATGTATTAGAATAATTTTTTAAAAACCATTAAACGATGTGTTTGCATGAGGACTTTAACAATAACAAGGGCGGTTCGCCTGGTGCCTAAATTATACATCTTTAGGCACCAGGTGAAAACGTTCCTTTTAAACCAGGCCTTTGGCTGATAAATATTCTAGGTAAAGGTAAAGGACCCCTGACAGTTAAGTCCAGTCATGACCGACTCTGGGGTTGCAGCGCTCATCTCGCTTTATTGGCCAAGAGAGCCAGCGTACAGCTTCCGGGTCATGTGGCCAGCATGACTAAGCCGCTTCTGGCGAACCAGAGCAGCGCACGGAAAAGCCGTTTACCTTCCCGACGGAGCAGTACCTATTTATCTACTTGTACTTTGACGTGCTTTCGAACTGCTAGGTTGGCAGGAGCTGGGACCGAGCAACGGGAGCTCACCCCTTCGCGGGGATTCGAACCGCCAACCTTCTGATTGCCAAGCCCTAGGCTCTGTGGTTTAACCCACAGCGCCACCCGTGTCCCCATCTATATCTATATCTATCTCTCTATTTGTCTATATCACCTATCTATTATCTATCTATCCATCTATCTATATCATCTATCTATCTATCTATCTATCTATCTATCTATCTATCTATCATCTATCTATCTATCATCTATCTATCTTCCATCTATCTGACTGTCTATCTATCTATCTATCTATCTATCTATCTTCCATCTATCTGTCTATCTATCTGTCCGTCTATATATCCATCTATCTATCTATGTATCTATCTTCCATCTATCTGTCTATCTATCCGTCTATCTATCCGTCTATCTATCTATCTATCTATCTATCTATCTATCTATCTATCTATCTACCTATCTAATATATAGAATATAATGGTCATGCAAATCCTGGCTGATCCTCAAACGCCTGTCTTTCTCCTCAGCCCGGAACTGCATGCGGCTGCAAGTGTTGGAGCTGGACCACGTGACGGAGGTGAACCAGGAAGTGGCGGCCGAGGTGTGTCGGGAAGGCCTGAAGGGGCTGGAGATGCTGGTCTTGACATCCACCCCGGTCACACCCAAAGCCTTGCTGCATTTCAACAGTGAGTGGGAAACCACAACCCCCCCAAAAAGCGAAGCTACGGGGCAGGTGGGCTGCAGGAGGGTTCCTGCCACGTTCCTGGACCTAGGATGGCACCTAGGAAACGGGGGAGACAGCCAGCAAATGATGGGATGGGATGTCTGGAAGGTTCTGGTCCAGCTGGCCATGGTGAGAAGGGGATGTTGGACCAAATGGACCTGATCCTGCAAGACCTTCATATGTTGGGGCTTAGTGATAAGATCCCTGGAAACCCAACTGGCCGGTCATTGTTGGGGCAGCAAAGGTTCTCCTGTGTTTTTTGGGGTGGCTGGAAGAGACTCAGAAGAACTGTCTCTACCGTGAGGACATATCAGTTTTGTAGTGGCTTAGCTGTCATGGCTTCCTCCAAACTTTTTTTTTGGGGGGGCACCAGGAAACAGGGAATTATGTTCACATGTGGTGGGGGTATAAATATGTACAAATTTTTAGGCAAAGGGCATTTAAGGAAACAACAGAAATCACTGGGTTAAAGCTGACCGAAAGTACAAAGATAGCATTATTTTGAATTTCCAATGGAGTGGAATGTCCGCAGGCTATGAAGGATTCGCTTGCAAATTTATTGTCAGCTGCATGAATTATTGTAGCTAGGAAGTGGAAGGGACAGGCAGAATATAAGATGGAGGAATGGTATAAAGAGGTGTAGGATATAGCTAGTAATTATAAAGTAACACGTGCCATTAAGGCAAGATAGGGAATATGCAGGAGAATTGATTTTGAGGAGATATGGGTGGTGTTTGTAGAATTTGTGCTGTTAAAATGGAAAGGGGTCAAACCATCGCAAGAGGTGTTGAAATTTTGGGATGTTGGATAGTTGCAATGGAATGGTCTCGGTGGTGGAGTGCACATTTTAATTCTTATTTATTTACGATTATTACTTTTCCAAAAAAAATAAAAAAATTAAAAAGAGAATTAAAGGCACTTTCATTTTGGAAAAAACCTTTTTCGAGGGTGGTATTCATGGGTGGGCTGCAGAGGGTCCCAATCTGCATCGGGGCCCACGCATCTCCTTTGCACTTTTTAGAAGTTATCCACACAGTTCCTTAACTCAGATGGCTTTAAGAGAGGATGAGACAAATGCATGGAGGATGAGGAGATCGAGTGGTGAGGAGCCTCTCAGTACCAGGAGCCTCTCAGTACCAGGAGCTGGTTTTGTGGCAGAGGTGCCAGAATTCACTAGGAACGCCTCCCTTGTTCTCTTATATAGGGGCAATGGCGCCCACCTGAAAGGAGCCAGAATAGAGTTCCATTGAGTTCAAGCCGGGGGGAGCCCTGGCCATTAGCCTGGCTTTTTTTTATTTTATCACAGAGGTTGCCAACATGGCACCCATGGGTGCCAGTGTGCCAGCCAGTATGACCAGTATGGCACCCACAAAGTATCTCAGTATTTTGTTGGAAGCTGCCCAAAGTGGCTGGGGAAGCCCAGCCAGATGGGCGGGGTATAAATAATAAATTATTATTCTTGTTCTTCTTATTATTATTATCAGTAGAATCCCCTCAAAAATCCAGAGTGTATGGTACTATTTGCTCTTCTTCCTTATTTTGGGTTATGGCACACACACCTTGGCAGCCATTTTGGGTTATGCCACACACACACCTTGGCAGCCATTTGTATTATGCCACACACCCCATGGCAACCATTTTGTGTTATGCCACACACTCCATGGCAGCCATTTTGTATTATGCCACACACACCCTTTGGCAGCCATTGGTATTATGCCACACATACACCCCATGGCAGCCATTTTGCATTATGCCACACACACCCCTTGGCAACCATTTATATTATGCCACACACCCAATGGCAGCCATTTGTATTATGCCACACACCCCGTGGCAACCATTTTGTGTTATGCTACACACTCCATGGCAGCCATTTTGTATTATGCCACACACCCCATGGCAGCCATTTTGTTCTATGCCACAAACCTCACGGCAGCCATTTTGTGTTATGTCACACACCCCATGGCAGCCATTTTTTTATTTGTACCCATAGCACTAACTCAAAATAAAAAATGGTCCTATTGACACCCCCCCAAAAGGCCTTGCAACCCCAGATCTTATGTCTATTTCGGCTGCTGACTCTGGATATGTGGGAAAGAAGAAAAATCTACTTTCCTCACACACCTTTTCTCCCATCAAGAGGTACAAAGCTTCAGAGAAGCTCAGGTTTTCTTTTCAGTTAAGACTTGGCTGTGAAGGAACAAGTGCCAGATAGAGTATTTATAGAGAATTTCGCTGTTAAAAATAGCAGAGGTTGGCTTTCTGCCAGAGCTGCTTCGTTACAGATATCGAGGAAGTTTGCTAGGCGACATACCCTACTGTTTTTTACACAAATAATCAATTAGCATCGCTGCCCAACAATTAATGACCTTTTAGTTGTTTGACCTGCTTGTGTTAATTAGGAAAAATAAAATGCAGTGCGAATGTTACCAGACCTCAATAAGCCTATTATTTTTGTTTTATTTCACGTGGGAATTTATAACCATTGTCAGAAGGAATGTCCACCTATAACATGACTTTCCTTCTCTTTTCCCTAGGAAAGAGCCAAAGCACATGCAAAATTTAGCAAGCGTCCCCTTAACTCTGAGCCCCACTGATTAAATCTACTAATTTGGGGATCTATTAATTGATCTACTTTGTGGATTTATCTGCTAATTGAAAGCTCACGGCCCGATTTATTAAATTAAAAGTAGAGGAGGCATGGTTAGAGATATGAGCGGCTCAAGCAAACTTTGCCTCTCGCACAGCCGTATCAGCTGCTGCTAGCAATTTTCCAAAATAGTGATTACTAGCTCATATCGCAGATGATTATTAGCATTTAATTTAGCAGAATTCTGGCAGCTGGTACCCACAATTAATGACGTAAGCGATGCCTTAAATGGATTTACGCAGAGGGCTTTCCCTCTAGTTTTTTCAGAGGCGGGGGGGAAGAACAACCAAGGATGTTCCTTTCAATAATAAGGGTGCTGGAGTTGTAGCAAATGTCCCGGTCTTCTTTGGGTTGTTGTTTTTTGTACAGTCATGAGGACTAGAACCCTGACCTTTCGTGATCATGCAAAGTGGAGATCATCAGGGTTCAAGGTGAAATAGCAGCTTCTCTCCTGCAGGGGTCACCAGTGTGGTACAACAACACCCTTAAGGTCAGGGGTCCCCAAACTAAGGCCTGCGGGACTCGTTTATCCGGCCCGCGGCAACCCCCACCGCCCGCTCTTACCGGTGCTGCGCTGCACAGCTACCCACTTCCAGGTCGGAGGAGCACCAGAAATAGCTTGTGCACCGGAAATAGCTTCCTGACAGTAAGAGCTGTTCGACAGTGGAATTTGCTACAAGGAGTGTGGTGGAGTCTCCTTCTTTGGAAGTCTTTAAGCAGAGGCTTGACAACCATATGTCAGGAGTGCTCTGGTGGTGTTTCCTGCTTGGCAGGGGGTTGGACTCGGTGGCCCTTGTGGTCTCTTCCAACTCTATGATTCTATGATTCTATGATTCTACATGCACAAGCATTATTTGTGCATGCGCAAGCATTATTTGTGCATGTGCAAGCGTTATTTGCGCATGCGCAAGCGTTATTTCCGGTGCACATCTGGGTCAGAGGAGGCCCGTGCACATGCGCACAAGCTATTTCTGGTGCTCCTCCAACCCGGAAGTGTGCCGGAAATAGCATGTGTGCATGCACATGGGCATGTGTTGCCCCACCCTCTGGCCCGCGGTGTGATCAGCATCAGCGCTGGAGACACCGGCCCGAGGCACAGTACGTTTGCTGAGCCCTGCTTAAGGTCTCCCCCTGGTAGCCATGAAGTCCCCCCACTTCCCCCCCTTGGGGAGTGCCTTTTTCTTCACATCTTATGTGTGTTTTTCCCCCAAAAAGAAGAGGAAATCTCCCAACCCAGATTTCATGCTGAAGACATTTTTCTTTCCTTAAAGGTGTTTGCCGGAACCTGAAGTCCATTGTGGTGCAGGTTGGGATCTCGGACTACTTTAAGGAACCAAACAGTTCTGAGGCCAGGAAGATGTTTGAGGAAATGGTGACCAAACTCCAGGTAATGAGTTTCCCACGTGGTCTAATCCTTATTAGTCTTGTTCTGCTTCTCTTCCTTTTTAGCAATGGGCTTGCTTGAAGTGACAAGAGCTCATCCTCAAAGATCCCAGGTTCAGTCTTTTTATACAGTGCTTTTTTCTGGGAAGGACACAGGAGTACGCATACCCCTAAACATTTTATGAATCTTTGTACTTTTGTCCATTTACTGTATTTATTTACTGTATATATATATTTTTATTAAATTTTCTGTTTTACAGTTTAAAATACAGTGGACCCTCTGGATACGAATTAAATTCATTCCAGGGGTCCGTGCTTAACCTGAAAAGTCCGTAACTGGAGGCGCCGCTTCTGTGCACATGCGCAGCAAAACCCAGAAGTATACACTTCTGGGTTTGCCGCATTCGCAACACAAAAGTTACGTATCCAGAGCGGTATGTAACTCGAGGGTCCAGCAATGACTTCCCTTCTTCTCTTTCCATGGTTCATTATTCATATCTTAAATCCCTGCATATTTTACACAAACTAAACCATTCAGTATTCCATTATTACATCCATCAAAACTTATTTACACTGCTGAATTTATCGTAATAATGCCAACGTTTTCAAGTGTACACAATTCTGCCCCCATATATTCATTAAACATTTTACTATCTTCATGAAACGTATGTTCTTCTTGTTCTCTTATTCTGTATGTTAAGTCTGCAAGCTGTGCATATTCTGTCATCTTAAGCTGCCGTTCTTCTTTGGTTGGGACCTCGCCCATTTAGGGACTAACAAAACACTGGCCGCAGTAGTGGCATACATAAATAACCTTTTTTGACACCTGGGAATTTCTGTCTGGATTATCTGCAACAGAAAGGACTCTGGAGAGGGGGAAGTACTTTTAAGCATTTTTTTCAGTCTTCAGCTGGCAAAACCTGGAGCGCCACTGCCAGTCAGTGAAGGCAATGCTGAATAAATGACAAGCAGAGCCACCCCATGACTGGCTGTAGGTAAGAATGCAGGCAACTGAGGACTGACTTAGGCAGACTGAGATTAGAGGGCCAGTCTCATTCACCCAAATCAGGGGTGGGGAACCTCTGGCCTGCAGGTCAAATTTGGCCCATAAAGCCTTTTTTTTTTAACACTGGCCAGTCACTCCAATATAATGTGAACTTACCTGAGATCCTACTTCTTGGAAGAAAAACAATGACAAACCTAGACAGCATCTTAAAAAGCAGAGACATCAACAAAGGTCCATATAGTTAAAGCCATGGTTTTCCCAGTAGTGATGTATGGAAGTGAGAGCTGGACCATAAAGAAGGCTGACCGCCGAAGAATTGATGCTTTTGAATTATGGTGCTGGAGGAGACTCTTGAGAGTCTCATGGACTGCAAGAAGATCCAACCTATCCATTCTTAAGGAAATCAGCCCTGAGTGCTCACTGGAAGGACAGATCCTGAAGCTGAGGCTCCAATACTTTGGCCACCTCATGAGAAGAGAAGACTCCTGGAAAAGACCCTGATGTTGGGAAAGATGGAGGGCACAAGGAGAAGGGGACGACAGAGGACGAGATGGTTGGACAGTGTTCTCGAAGCTACCAGCATGAGTTTGACGAAACTGCGGGAGGCAGTGGAAGACAGGAATGCCTGGCGTGCTCTGGTCCATGGGGTCACGAAGAGTCGGACATGACTAAACGACTAAACAGCAACAACAAGTCACTCCAATATAATGTACTTTCCTGAGATCTGCTGCTGAAGGGTGGTATACGAATTTAATAAATCATAATTATAGCAGGTTATGTCAGTGGGTGCACAGGAGGGCAGAGATTGATTCTATCTAAAGCTGCTAGTGCCAGTTCCCCTGTTTGCAAAAGGGCTTTCAAACAGCCCCCATTCTGCGCTTTGAAGTCCCGGTAGTCGGGGCGTCAAAGCGCCACATCACCTGCCACTGCTTTGGCACAGGGTGATTGACAGGTGGGCAATCCCGCTCACCTGTCAAATTTGTCCCTCGCCTAGGTTGAGGATATAACGACCAGAAAATGTTCCCTCTCTTTGGCCCAAACATTTAGAATTTATTGGAACTCCACGGCGTTTGTATAGAAAAGAACTGTCTTGTCGGAGACGTAATAAGGATAATATTTCTTTGAAACACCTGTTTTTACAATGACCTATACTTATTACGTTTTGGGAGAAAGTAGTGGATTATATAAATATGACTGTGTGGAAAAAAAATAAAATTTCCAGAGGATAATATTCTTTTGAGCTACATACCTATGACATGGAATTTGACAACTGAGGAAAGTAACTGGATTCTTCCTACCCTTACTATGGCCAAAAGACTTATATTGCTGCATTGGAAAGATAAATTGATGCCTCCATTTAATCAATGGATTGAAAACATGATTGCACTTACCACTTATGAGTGGATTGCTTATAGATGTAGAGTTTGCAGGGGGAAATATAATGAAATTTGGAACCCGTTCAGGTTAAAAAATAAATACATACTGTGTATAAGATGCCCCCATGTATAAGATGCCCCCTATTTTTGGGGACTCCAGATTAAGAAAACACCCCTCAGCACTACCTGTGTATAAGACGAGCCCCAATTTTAAACCTAATTTTTTGGTTAAAAAACCTAGTCTTATACATGGAAAAATACGGTATGTATTTGGATAATGCCAGTATCTATATATTAGGTAAGTATGTATGGAATTGCAATTGTTATTTCTTATAGGGTTATAGTTTATCCTTTCACGTTCTCCCTTTTTATTTTTTATTCTTTGTTGTTAAAAAGAATTAAGAAGCAGCAGCAGCAGCTCTGGCCCAACTGGAGCAGCCTGTTTCTTCTGTCACACCACTTCCCCTGAAATTTATTGCCGTCTCTCTCTTCTCTATCTCTTCCAGGCCCTGAAGAAGAGGCCGGGCTTTTCAAAGATTTTACACATTAAGGTGGAAGCTGGCTGTTAACCTTTGCAAGGGGAGAGACCAACGCGCACCCCGGATTAACATCTCCTGCCCGTCTGTTAGTAAAGACATCCTGGCGCCAACACCAGCAGCCTGCCTGCCAGCCTCAGTTCTCTGGACTGGCGCTTTCAGAAGCACCCAGCCGAGCGCACGCATCTTTGAGCAGGCCTTCCGGACTGGGCGCGACGAGCTCCTTTTCCGTGCGGTGAAGGGTCAGCTGTATCGCTGAGATGATGGTGCTATGAAAACACACACACAAAAACGCCCGGCAAAGGAATTTCTCCAGACTGCCAGCGGGAACATCCCTTTTCCTTCTCCTCCTCCTCCTTTCATCTCGCGGAGGCAGCTGTGCAAGGGAAGCTTGGCCCTTCTTTGCAGATCCTTCCTTTGCCGTCAAGACTCTCTCTTTCTTTTCGCCCTTCAACAACTTCTCGGCCAAGGGTGACAAATCAACGGGGCTCGCTCGACTCCCTAGATTCGCCTTCCTCCTTTGTGGAAACGACTGGTCGTTCCTTCCGTCTGAAACTCCATCGCCTCGGAGCCTCATTTCATCTCTTTCCTTTCAGGCTCTTTCTCTCTCTTACTCTTGGTTTTTAATGAGGGAGGGGCAGTTCCTATTGTGGGGAGAAGCAGGGATTCCTCTTCATTTTGATTTTCCCCCTCTCTCTTATGAAAGAAAAGGCAAAGCCGAATTTCCCTGCGGCCAGAGACCGCTACAATCCTAAGAAAACAAATCTCCTACCTTGGAGAGGAACCCTGGAATGTTCTCCCCTCTGACCAATTTCTGTCTTGGAGCCAGGACCATAGGAAGTTGCCTTATACAGAGTCAGGCCCCGGGTCCATCCAGCTCAATATTGTCTATACACACTGATAGCTGCTCTCCATGGTTTCAGGCGGGGAGTCTCTCCCAGTCCTCCCAGGAGATGCTGAGGATTGAACCCAGGACCTGGGCCACTGAGCCAGGGCCCTTGTTCTCTCTCCTGCACAGGCCATAAAGCATCTTTGCCTGCAACATCCTCTTTTCATCTCTTGCCACCAACTTTTTCCTGATTCATGGAAAGCCGCCGCCTTCCTCTTCTGGCAGGTGGCTTCACCGAGTGATTAATCGTTTGGCAATTGGCACAGTGGAAAGGAGACATTTCTGCTTTGAATGTAAGCCTCCATCCATCATCCCTAGCTTGCCTGCTTTCCAGGAGGCAGGGAGATCCAGTCTCTCCCCCCCCCCCACGATTTACAGATCTGCAAGTGCTCTCCAGGTATTAACTGGCCCTCAACATTAACCAGTTCCCAATCCCTGCCGTTTATGCCAAGATTTAGGGAGCACATAGCTGCCAGAAATGAGAGGAACCAGCTCTGCCCGAATTTCTCAGGCAGATGGCTTTGCTTCAGTTGGATTTCTTGGGGAAGAAGGATGGAGTTTGCAGTCAGCATCCTGCTGTGGCGATGGATCAGCAGCAAAAATGACACAGCTAGCAAGTGCAGGTTCCAGATCCTGCAAGGAGGAGCCTGGCTTATAAGCTCACGGCCAAAACATTTGATCAACCTGAGGAAATCCTTTCTGGCATAGCATTTATGCTGAATCCCCAGAGGCAGTCGAGGGCTGGCCTTGAGAGAGGACTCGCGGGAAGCATTTTCTAGTCTAAGCCAAGGGTCGCTACGCTGTGCCTTCATCAGCTGGAATTATCCGAAGCTGTTTTTATTCCATCAGAGCATCTCCATTCTTGGGGGGGGGGAGGCTGACCTGTTGGGTTTCTGCCTGGTGTGCAGCTGATGAAGGCACAAGCTCCATCCCAGAAAAAAACAAGGCAACCCCCATCTCAGAGCCAACCCTTATCAAGTAGCTGTTGGACTCCTGGTTCAGTACAGTAAGCCCACAACTTATACAACTTTATGCACTTTGCAAAAAAAATTAAAAAAATTAAAAAATAATTTAAAGGGAGCATGAATCCAGGAAAAAAGTATTTGGCAATCCTATCCACCATTGCACCCCATGTGTTTTGACTATACACAATTTTGGGTTTATGCCCAGTGCCCAAAATGCAATGTAAGTTGCGGGCTTAACTGTAGTTACAAAGATAAGTTATTTGAAAAAGACAGATAGGACTATATATGGTGGGTTCTAAAGCTTCTATTACTTGAGTGGTATTACCTGAGAGAGAAAACTGATAATCAGTCTTCCCCCCCTCCCCTCAAAAAAAGGAGGGAGGATCCTTATTCCTTATGTTGCACACAAAAAGCACCAAGAATTCTGTGGCAAGAATAAGTTGTGCAAAGCACACTTGATGATGACACCATGCTGATTTTGGGGGTTCTTGAACACAGAACCCTCAGTGAACAGGAAGGCTGCAGAAACTGCAAATTAGTTTAGGCTGCATCTGGGCTTCTTCAAAGTGAAAAGGTTCAAAGTGAAAAGGTTAATCCTTCTTATGGCTGTGTTATCATTTGCCACTGAATCGGAGCAAATGTCAGTCGGGTCTTCTCCAATGGACAGTTCCTCAGATTTATCGCGAAGGAACGGGTGTTCCACAGGGGAAGGCGGTGGAACAGAAGCAAAACCACTCCCACCCATGCTTTTTAGGGACGAGTGGAAGTCTGAATGGGCCCTGAATCAGAATATTTCAGGACCCTGGACAGAGCCACACAGAGGAGAGAGTAGTTGCCTGAACAAGATGCAGAGGACTTTTTAGGGCCAAGTGGAAAGTGTGCCTTTAATATAGATATTTAAAATAATTAAGAAGAGTGTGTATGCAGGTTGCAAGCTTCAACCCAGCAGGAGCTGGCTGCAAATTAGAGAACAGATAGTCTGCAGGTTCTGCCCTCCTCTACTCACCCCTCCCAATTAACCTCCGTCTCCAAGACATTACAAAGGCCAACTCTAGGCATTTAGGCCCTGAAATCTTAGGTATGGGATGCTGCTGATTCTAGTGTTAGGAGAAATCCAGACTCAAAAGCTGGTGGGTTTTCATGAGGACTTAAAAAAATTGACAAATCTACTTGCAGCTCCCGGCCAAGTGACTCATTGGGTGGAAAACCTACGTTTGGTGCCATGTGAAGTGTTAAATTGCCCTAAGAAGATCTCTCAGTTTCGGCAGGCAATAAATAGTCTCTGAGAATTCATATAGCAACACTGGGGAGAGTGAGAGTTCAGAGAAAAGGAGGGTCAATGGAACCCTCACTGAGATATTGGATCTGCAAAAATCCAGTTCTGCTTCGCAGAATTATTGCCTTTTCCAGCAGCCAACTCTCACAGGTAGTGATTTTTATTTTATTTTAATCCTGATTCCGAAAGACTTGCACAACCTTTGGGGGGGTTTTGTTTTCCTGTCGTGGGGGCACAAAGGTCACAAATCCTGGAGTAAATGGAGAGCTTTTGCAGGAAGGAGGCCCCAGAATGCATTGCTCCACCTGCAGCTTGAGATGCACTGCATTCTGAGAAATGCAGTCTTCAAGGAGCTGGGCACCCTTGTGTTTACAAGGAAGGCAGCCATTTTGCCAAAGTTTCTTTTTTCATCACGGCCCTGGAGGTGACACTGAAGGGACAGGAGGAGGAAGGGAGCAAAGTGTTTGGTGTGGCCAGCTTAACGGTCTGAAGAGTCTAAAAGGATGCCTAAAAAACCAGCAAAAATTAAAAATAATCATCCGATAAGAAGGAACGAAACAAAAAGCAACAAGGATGGAGGAGAAAGTGAACACGAGCCTCCTAAATTCCACATTTTGATACTTTTTAAACACAAGAGTTTTCTGGCAGTGGCGATAAACCATGACCTTGAACAGTCGCCTTTGACACAGTGCAGAAACTTGAACAAACGTTACCTTAAATTCAAGAAAAGTCAGTATTTATTTCTATAAAGAATTAAAAAAAAAAAGACGAAGAGAGATTTTAAAGCAAAGTTATTTACTCAGCATGTGTCGCTATGCTCTGTTCTTAGTGAGGGATTGCTTTAACTGAGAGTCATTTCGGGGACTGATTTATTTATTTTGGTTCCTCTTCGTTCATCAAGGGCAGAGAAGGTCAGCTCACGAGGATGTTTGCTGCTGCTATGACTACAATTTCCATTACTTTCTGCCCCCTCTCGCCTTCTTTTCCTTTTTGAAAGAGAGTGCCGGAGAGGAAACCAGCCCATCGGATGTGAGGAGGACTCGAGAGCCAATTCTGGCCTGATACTATCTTTCTTGCCCTCGTTCTAATGCATCCTTCTGCAGAGTCTCTGGTAGTGGAACAATCTAAGGTTTGGGTCCCCCTGATTAATCCAGGGATGTGCCCTCAGGGCTGTGGATTTAGCTGGAACATTCTTTCATTTTTGGAAGCGGGGGGCAGCTGTGACAGCATCCACCTACGGCAAGTCCTCCAAGCAATGGCAATCGACTGGATGGAGTGGCTACCGGGAGGGGGAAGCTTTCCCTCCTTTTCCTCTTGTTGCCCCCAAGATCGCATTCCAAGGGATGTGTGAACAGAGGGCAGCGGTCAAGAACTGCGCATGGTGCGCAGTGATTCGCCTGGGAAGCCACGATTTCATGTTACCAGGACATATAACTGGGAGGGAAGGTGGAAGAGCAGGATTAAAAGGTGTGACTCAGAGGAACAGAGACCAAAGTGTCTTCTAAGAGATATTTCATCTCTAGGTTTGGAGGGTTGTTGGGGGAGGGCGAGGAGAGCAAGATGTTTATTTATTTATTTATTTATTTACTTACGTGTTTATTTATTTATTGGGTGGAATGACATCGCTATTTATTTTCTCTTTTTTTAAGAAAATAAGAATGATGATGATGATGATGATAACTGTGAGATTCTCTGCCTCTGAACTTTGGTCAAAATTGAGCTATGGGTGTGTGGTCTCCCTCCCTTTTATTATTATTATTACCATAAATCCCTGACTGGTTCATGGTGTTCCCTTCTTCCCTGTCCCCCACCCCATCAGTCTCACAGCTCACTGTGCTGCGAGGGCAGGAAAAAAGAGGTTTGTAAGTGGATGATGATGTGATGTTCGCTGGAAATTATTTCCCCTCCCATCTCTGCAGTGTTAACCCTTGCACCCTTTGAACAGGAGCTGAGCACTTTTGATATATGTTTTCTTTCCTGTTTAAAACTTATTCTTATTCTTAACCCAGAAATCAGATAGTTGGGGCCACGATCCAGTTAGCACCTGCAAACCTCACAGATTCCAATGGGAAACTGCAGAGCCTAGGCTTAACTTTCTCCTAAGGGCATCAATAAGACTTAAAAGTGTTTTACTTTGTTCTGCACTTATGGTATCTATTCAGAAGTAAGTCTAACTGAGTTCAATGGGAAGCATGTAGAGAACTGCAGACTAACAGGAGCTGGATCAAGCCCCCTGACCCTCTGGGTGTCATAACGTAAATTTGAGCCAAAAACTTGTTTTGTGTTCTTTTTTTAAAAAAAAAGCTGGGTGGGAGGCAGAAAATGTCTCTGCAATGCTTTGAAGGCAGGCAAATGAATTTTTCTTAATGTGATCATTTGTATTACTGGGTTCCGTGAGGATGTTCTAAAGGCCTTTGGGGAATATAAACATTAATTGAACGGATAGGGCAGGAAATGGTATGCTCAGGTTGAAGAGGTGCTTAGCACATCAGCGTGCCTCAGTCGATCGCTCCACCCTCAACGGCTCACAGCTGAAGCCCTGCTCAGAGGTTTGGGTTGCCCTCCGTGCCTTCAATGGGTACAGTGTGAGGCAACAGGCTCTGCTCTCCCTGCCCACATCTGCTAAATATATGGAGAAGAACCCAGATTTATGAAAAGGGCTTGGATGTGCGAGCAGTTTTCCCTTAAAAAGCAAGGGGGCATACGAACATCCTTTTCTATGGGGATTGCACTATGATGGCAAGTTCATACACACAGGCTATGACTTCATGGTGCGCTCATTGAGAAATTTGCATGCAAGTGGAAGTTGAGCCACAGTGTATTGGGGGGGCATTTCCCAACAGCAGTTCACCTTCTGCAAAACTGGGGTGGCTATTTTTGCGCAGAGAGGCTATACCAGGGGTCGGCAAGGCTTACCGGTCATGGGCTGGATCACTCCCGCGGAGATCCTCCATGGGCACGACACTGGAAATCGCATCTGCACATGCCCAGATGCCGAAAATCACACCTACGCAGAAGCGGTTTTTGGCATCTGGGCATGTGCAGACGCAGTTTCCAGTATCTGCGCATGCACAGATGTGATTTCCAGTGCCACTCGGCAAGTCCCCATGCTGCGCTGCGCTGTTTTAGCGCAGCATGTGGGGGACTCGCCAAGGGAGCTGCTTATGGGCCAGTAAAACGGTCTTCATGGGCCGCATCCGGCCCATGGGCCACACGTTGCCGACCCATGGGCTATACTATGCAGTTGTTACCTGTATAGTAGCAAGGAGTGGGGGAGGAAGTTGGTTCAGATTGCATTCAAATTCAAATTTTCCAGATTACGTTTTTCCAAAACAGCACAGGAACTTTGAAATCCACATATCCCCTAATTTTGCAATGCATTTCTCCAGACAAGTAATGTGTGCCCCCCAAAAAGGGAATTGTGTTAAATGTGCATATAAATGCATACATCAGTGAAAATAACACAATCAGGGGAAATGCTGTGGAAAAATGTCTTCGGTCTGTGAAATTGCATACAAATATGTGTTTATTAGGAGAAATTTGCATGAAAACGTGATGGATTTTCATGAGCACTTTTTTAAAAAAAGAAAAAAAAATTGCAAGTTGCTGCAAAATGTTGAGAACTGATTAAGATTGGAACACTGAGAAACTGGAAGAAATCAAAATTGACAGATTCCCCTACCCCTGAAAGTACCTGCTGCCCCTTTGAAGGAGACTGCCCAGCACTGACCGTGCTTTGGAGGGAGATGGGGACAGATGGCGGAGTCGCCGCAAAAGGCAGCGATTTATCTTTCTCTCTTTCCGAGCAAACTTCACACCTCCCTTTGCAATGTCACCTTCTGCTGAGCAAAATGAACCCGAGGAAAATCTGGCACAGCTGGTGCACGAAGCGCCTCTGCCACCGCGTGGGTTTGTTTTAACGTGGTTTGCAAAGTGGAGACGCCTCTTTGCATTTTGCAAAGATCAAAGCTCGTTTCTGGTGGCTGCAGCTGCCCAGCTTGTTGGTGCTGTTGCTGCTCCGATGCGCTTTTGTAGAACTGTCAAATGTTGAAGCTTTGTGGTGTCAGTCTGCGCGGGAAGAGGGAAACTTTGAGCGTGAAGCCTTCTGCGTCATGTCATTTAGCACGTGGCGCTATCTGAACGAAGTGAAACGTACGCCTCTGCCATTTGCGGCATGGGATCTGCTTCTAAGATCCAGGGCTGGCTCAAGCATTGGCCAGTGGGAGCACATGGCACCAGAAGAGGAGGAGAAGGAGGAGGGAGCAGTTTATGGGCAAGGATCATAGGTTGGCAGTAGAGCATCTTGCTTGCATGCGGAAGGCCACAATGTAGATCTGGAAGAGACCCCTGCCTGAGACTGCAAAGTCACTCAGCTGCATTGAACTTTGGCCAAGTCCTACGTAACTAGCTTGGATTTTGAGTATGGGTAGAAGAAAGTTCCCTGAATGCCACAGTCAGCTACTAAGGGGAAGAGTGTCAGACCAGATCCATGGTGGAAGTTTACGCAGCCAGTGCAGGAGATGGGAAATGCCAGAGGGATGTGGTCAGTGCACATCTTGGGTCCATGGCATCAGCTGCTGTCCCAGAAAAAATGAAAACTGTCTACTGATCAGGATCATGGCCACAGAGGAGCCCACGAGCAGGGCATGAGGGTAGCAGCAATTTCTTGCTGTTGCTTCTCCCATTAACTGGTATTAACTGCTCCTGCTCATAGAGGCTCCATTCTGTTGTTAGACCTATTCCTTGATGTATTTGCCCATGCTTCTTTTAAAGCCAGCAGGCCAAGCTTCCTTTTCTTCCTTCACCTGCAAACGTCATCACCCCTTGGGCCAATTTCAAGGATTCTGTAAAGCTTCTATCTGCATTCCTTCCGTCTTTTTGCGGTTTCTTTGCTTGTTTCATAAAATGTATATGCCACTTGATTGTAGGGAAAAAAGCTCAACGCGGTTTATACCTCCAAGGTGGGCCCTAACTGCCGTGGGCAGAGTTGTCTTTCTGCAGATTCCCAAAGTGTAGAGAATATTGCAGTTCTGTTGAGCAGGGCTGGAAAATTCTCCAGAGCTTTCTGTGTTTCCCTGCTCTTTCTGGAGTTGAGGGTGCACGCTTGTCTGCGTCCCAATCCAATAAGGATAAATGACCATCCATATTCCCATGTTACCGTTGTATACAGCCTCCAGGTTGTGAGGGGCCCCCAAACTGCGAGCTGGGAGATATTTTAGGAGTGCAAGCATGCACCTTGGGTTTGAGCTTCCTTGGTGGTGTTTCGGTGATATAGGTAAAGGTAAAGGGACCCCTGACCATTAGGTCCAGTCATGGCCGACTCTGGGGTTGCGGCGCTCATCTCGCTTTATTGGCCAAGGGAGCCGGCGTACAGCTTCCGGGTCATGTGGCCAGCATGACTAAGCCACTTCTGGCGAACCAGAGCAGCGCACGGAAACGCTGTTTACCTTCCCGCCAGAGCGGTACCTATTTATCTACTTGCACTTTGATGTGCTTTTGAACTGCTAGGTTGGCAGGAGCAGAGACCAAGCAACGGGAGCTCACCCCATCGCGGGGATTCAATCCGCCGACCTTCTGATCGGCAAGTCCTAGGCTCTGTGGTTTAACCTCCAGCGCCACCCGCGTCCCCAGTTTTGGTGATATAGATAGTTTTATTTGCACATATCTGTACAGACCGAGCATCAGATTAGAAGGGCTCGAAGCATTAACTAACAAGAGATCTCGCTACTTCACTGGGTTTCTAAGGAAAAGCCCCCCCGAGCGATAGTGTCGGTTTCTGCGCAAAGAGCAAGTCAAATCTCTGTGTCTCCCAGTTGCAGCTCAACAGGGGAGAAAACATGACAGACCCCTGTCCTATTGCTCTACTACAACCGACAGTCATCCCCGCCAACATGGGGTGGGGAAAACATTTTATGGCAACGCACCTGCACTTGACCAATTCTGCAGTTGTGTCAAGAGAAGCTGAACAGATTTGGACAGGGCCGCTGCCTTGTTTTATTTATTTTATAAAATTTTATACAGTGCTTGATTGGAAAACGAAAACGAAAACCCTCAAAGTGGTTTACCAAAATGGTAAGGCTAAGAAAAATGTGCAGTAATTGAAGGCATGAGAAAAATTGCAAAATTGCAAGCTAAAAATACCAACTTTCTAAACCTCTGGATTGGCTTGTCTAAACACATACACAAAAATGATCAGGCACCGAAAATAATAATAATAATAATAATAATAATAATAATAATAATAATATAGTGGAACCTTGGTTGTTGAATGCTTCGGAAGCCGAACAATTCAGAATCCAAATCCCGACAACCCAGAAGTGAATGCTTCCATTTTCAAACGTTTCTCCATTTTTTAAAAGGAATTTGCCAACCGGCAATTGTGCCTCGGTTGTCAAACCTTTCGGAAGTCGAACAGATTATGTCCAACAACCGAGGTTCCACTCTAATAATTTATTACTTATACCTTGCCCATCTGACTGGGTTGCCTCAGCCACTCTGGGAAGCTTCCAACATAATAAGAGTCATTTTAAAAAGAGTACAGTGAAGGCAGCTGCCTAATATCAAGCAGCAGGGAGTTCCAAAGGGTAGGTGCTGCCACGGTAAAAGATTGAGAATGTGGAACGGGTCTTTTGTGGCCTCTGGGATACTTCCAATTCCGCTGATCCAAGTGGCTGAGTGGCTTCATTGCAGGGGAAAGGTGGTCTCTTGGGCAAACTGGCCCCAAGTGGCTTAGAGCTTTGAATAGTAGCAGCAATGCCTTGAACTTGGCCCATTGTCTCTCACAAAGGTTACTGGCTTGACCACCTCGGCCGTTTCTTCCTCTACGAAATTCAACCTTAGAGATCTAATACCACAGGGCTGCAGGGAACCCAAAAGAGATGTTCTGGAAAGACGCTGTGATTTGAGTTAGGCGCCCAGGAAGCGCATGTGTGATGCTGTTGGATTCTGGAGCTGATGATTTAACGGTACTGATCCAACAAATTGTGGGGGGCTGCTTCTGTTCCCCCCACACACAGAGAGACACACCATAGCTGCATCTCTTTAGGGGAAGGAGAGTTTTCCCCGCACAACTGCACGCAGGGCTCTCCGGAGAGTGGCATCATCTCTTTCATTGCTGCCATGGAGACATTTATTAAAAGATATGAAATCTTGTCAGCAGCAAGAATCAATTGGTTCGGGTTGTCAAATCTTCCACAGGCTTTCGGAGGCCTTTCTTCCTTAACAAAAGGGGTGGGGTGGGAAACGGATTTGCCTGTCAGCGCCATCAGATAATCCGCAGCAAAGGTGCAGAAAGAGAAATCCAGATATGTAAAGAAGATCCCTTTACACAACCTCCGCTTCAGGT